CTCGCACCCCAGGCAGAGAAATGTTCTGGGACAACTGATTTTATTTGGGAGGAAAAATAATCAGCCGACAGATTTTTCACTGAAGGGAGTGCTGGGAGCTTGATTGCTTCAGATCAGAACAATATATTTTAAGTCCCCAAAGGTAGCTATCTGGATGCCTGCCAAACTGGAACGGGAAGGACAAAGAATGCCTCCACTTAATTAGAACCGTGCACCAATTACTCCGCCCCGGTTCGTTTCAGAAGGAAGTTTCTCCAAGCTACTCACGTAGAGGCAGGGCATGTACACTCGGTTGCCAACAATCACGTCGATGAACTCATCTGCGCTACAGTCTTCCCTGAACAGCACCTCGGCGTTGAAGATTTCTTAGGATGGGAGAGGTAAGGGCGCATTGCATTTCGTGGGACTCACGCTGCTCGCGGCCACAGGAACAGAGCCCAGCTGGGATCCGAATGCCAGGCAAGCTCTTGCCTACCTCTGTGTCAACCCATCTCCCCATCCCTTAAAATCTTGGCTCCTTGGGGAGAAGAAAGGGCCATGCCCGCCCCCACTGGAGAAAGGATACTGTATTCATGCAGGATGAGCTGCACCAGCTTCTCCGAGCACTGGGTCAAGGTCACGGTGGAGTTGAAGGAGATGCCGCCTCCCTTCTTGGGCTGGAAGGAGGACAGAGGGGCGGTTAGGACGATGCCGGAATGTCCCTCAATGTCAAACCTACCACGGGTGAACGGATATATGGTCTCATGATTTCCCCGGCCTGGATTCAGGACAAAAGAGGGGCCTCTAACCCAGGTTGCCCCACCAAAGGATCTAAGCTTGTGGGAAGGCAAATAAAAGCCTGGAGTGACATCCGGTTCCGGGTTTCTCCAACCTGACTCTCTGCGGTTGTCTGGAACTACGATACGGAATATCTGTGGGGCTGATGGAGGTTAGGATCCGGCCACCTGGACAGCCTAAGCTTCCCCTTGAACGGGAGACGCCAGCAGGCAAAGGCAGCTCCCTCCCACAGTACAAACGAGGATTTTCAGGCTTTCTGCGTCTCACCTTGAAGTAGATGTTGGGTTTATTCTTGTTCAGCCTGATGCCCACCGTTTCTAATTCCTTTTCCAAGAGAGCTCTGCAGGAGGAAGCATAACACACGCTCAAACTTTTGCCCAAATGTACGTTTGCAGAGTATGCCCTGCACCCTGATTACAAGCTGTAACCCTTACATTTTGCACAGGTACGGAGAAGACGCGAAGGCTGCCTTCTTAGGGGGCTGGCAAAGGAGAAATCCCCAAGGACCGAGCCTCTTCCCACACCATTCTGCCCCCCAGAAGCCCCTCCAACCTGCTGACCTCTGGACTTCGCCCTTGGTGGCGTCCAGCATCATGATGACAACATCCGAGGTCCGGGCCACTGCAATCACTTGGCGTCCTCGGCCCTTCCCTAACAACACAACATTTTTTACTCTTACAGAGAAGCTGACAAAGAACCGGGGCATAAAAGAGAGAGAGAGCGTGTCCATTTTTTGACCTGGTCAATCCCGACAGAACCCTCTCTCTTTGAAAGTTGACATAAACATTGCTTTCTCCTACAACAGCTCCAGGGCAGCTCTCCCCCCTCCGCCATCTGACACTTCTCAACAATGGGACTTCCTTATTTTTTATTTCATCTATTCGAATCCCGCCTTTATTATTTTGGCAAACATCTCAAGGTGGTGAACATATCCAGTACGCCTTCCTCCTCTTATTTTCCCCACAACAAAACCACGAGGCATTTAGCAATTAAAAAACAAAAGGGATTTCCAACCTTGAGCGGCTCCTTCAATGATCCCAGGAAGATCCAGAAGCTGGATATTGGCTCCTTTGTACTGCACATGAATGAAGAACAATCAGGAGAGGCAGCGAGGGCTGGAAAAGCAACCCACCACACTGATGATCAAGCAATCATCTTGTACGAATCTGAGTGCCAATTGAACAAGCGATTGAACTAGTCCGCGAGCTCCCCATTCCTAGAAGCAGCAGTATCGGCTCTGAGTGAATTGCTACCCCAGCGAGAGGGAACCTATTAAAAGTGCATTTACCTCTATGACTCCAGGAATACAGGTCAGTGTGGTGAATTCATAAGAAGCTGCTTCACTAGCTGTGGAAGTCATTAAACTCAGAAACGTGGACTGAAAGAGAAGGCAGAGATTTAGAAAGCAGCAGAACCTATTTTCACAGCCATGCCCAAGGAGTTCTTGTTCTCTGCTTGGCACTGACCTTCCCCACAGAAGGGAAACCGATCAGCGCCACCCGGGCATCTCCCGACTTCATCACATCGAAGCCTTCCCCTTTGCCCGCAGCCGATTTGGAAGGCTCTAGAAGCTGAGCTCTGTACTTGGCGAGCTTGGCCTTCAGCAGACCAAGATGGTACTCGGTAGCTGGCGGGGGAAATTGGAGAAAGAACAAAGGAGTCAAATCGACAAGGGGGTGGGGGTGGGGGGGAAACTCAGGACAATCTGTTTCATCTGAGTCACTTGGGCAGCAGCTACAGTAAATCTAAAGCAATATTAATCATAATGCAGTAGTAACAACACGTTTTTCTTTGTTTTTCTTGCTACGCTCTATAAATATAATCCCAGGTGGCCCTTTTCTGCCCCTCTTCCTGTTTTCTGCACAAGCCACTCGCTTCTCCTTGCATGTTTCTGCGAGCTGTGCCAGCCATTTGCTTTCACACTTGTGGACCATCAGGACAGGGATGGCGGCTGTCCATTGCTTCTGGAGGCTGGCAGGAAGAGGCGGCGGTGGAGGAGGAGGAGGAGGAGGAGGCAATTGGCCCGAAGGGAATCCTGGTGGCTTCAATGGCTTTGCTATGATCTGGGCTGCAGGATGCAGCCAGTTGTTGTTGTTATTATTCAATCAATTTGCCACCTATCTCAGCATCATACTCTAGGCGGCTCACAACCATACAAGAAACGAAGAAATAAAATGGAAGTTTAAACAACGCAAAAGTAAAATAACAGAAAGATAAAACAAACGAAAAAGAAAACAGTTCATTTATGCAGCCGTTTATTGTATTTAGGAAATGTATAAAAGCGTAAACAGGCACATGCGATACACGTACACATGTATGTCACAGACAGACACACACACACATGTATGCTTGTATGCCTGTGTGTGTGCATGTATACACACATATATATACATAAACAGACATACGTACACGCACATGTATATATACATATACACATATACATGCATACACACACACGCGCACATGAACGAGTCAGATTTTGAAAAAAAATTAAATGTTATTTTGTATTAAATGACCCCCCCCTCGAATTAAAGTAACAGGCAAATAAATAACCGGCGGCCTTTTCCCCCTCCAAGGGGCACCTTTAAAGAGGCGGGAGGTTCGGGCAACCCGCCCGCTCTTTCCAGCCCCGCACAGGCAGCCCTCCAACAGGTGAAGCGCCCCTCCCCGGCCCGCCCGAGGCTCCGGAGCGCTTCCCCGGCGGGGCTCCTGCCCGACGGGCTCCCCCGCTCGCGCCTCACCTTTGTTCTTCTGGGTCCGGGCGATCTCCTTCTCGATCTCCGCGATCTTCTCCAGGATCCCCATCGTGGCGAGTCTGGCGGACAGGGATTAGGGACGGGCTGCCCCGGAAGTAGTTTCCGGGCAGATCCGGCACGCCAAGCCTTCCGCCCGGCAACCGGGACCAGCGATGTTTCATTCCGTCCCTGTCGGGGAAAGCTGGACTAGTGGGGAGGCCGCCCCAAGCCAAGGCAAAGACAGTTGTACTAATTTTACACAATTGTTTTTTGCTTTGCTTTGGTTGTGTCCAGCCTTGGCAACTTTAACACTGGTGGACTTCAATTCCCAGAATTCCCCATCCAACAGCATGGCTGGCTGGAGAATTCTGGGAGTCGAAGAGCACTGATCTTAAAAGTTGCCAAGGTCGGACATCCCTAATATAGTAAACTGTCAGCAGGCACAAATTTAATATATTATTTAATACATATATTAAAAATATTGTTCAGCCCATATATTAAAACATCATTTATTACAACCATACACAGCTCAGAATCACCTAAATTGAGCCATGTACACAATTCAATAGAATTTTTTTTTTCATCCTATCCCCATACAGATAACAAATAATCAGAGTTGGAAGGGACCTTATAGGTCATCTAGTCCAACTCCCCACCCAAGCGGGAGACCCTACACCATTTCTGACAAATGGCAGTCCAGTCTCTTCTTGAAGATCTCAAATGATGGCATCCCCAAGGCTTAAGGGTCGCTTGTGTCCTCTTTTCATTTTTGATGTGCTGGCTTCTGAATATCTGCTTTTTTCTGGGCATCTACAATGCCAAGGAAAAATGAAGAAGCTTCTTTAGCTGATGGGGTCTTTAGCTAAAGAGTTGCTCCCAGCTATTGGCTAAAGGTTGGCCAGTGCTACAAAGCCCATATTGCAAATATTACAAAACCCATTGTACATGGCCCTCCCAGCCCAAAGGAGAGTTAGGTGGATTTCTTGGCAAAGGGCAGAGGGTAAAACAGAGCTCTATAGCATCACAGTGACTGGGCCAAACACAAAATATGCTTTTACACTGCTGATCTTATGTCAATCATCCAGATATCCAGTATGCAAAGTAGCCATCATACCATCTTGCAAGAAAGTGATGAAGTGGGGGTGTTTTAATTTTCAGAAATTAGCCTTTGATTAACATTTCTAGTTCTTTGAAGTAATGAAGCAGGAATGTGAAATTTTGACAAGCACAAAAGGTACATTAAGGATGCCGGCCCAATTTTATTTATATGCCCAGACATCCAGGACTTGCTTTCCTCCCCCCAAAAAAGTTTGTCAAACATGTGAATACTGATATTCTGTACCCTTCTCTCCCCAGGGAAAACAATTAGAATTGTCCACATGGTTCTGAGCCTTTTGGAAAATATCAACTTGCTTAAGAATTATGAGACTAATTATGAGCGGGGCAGCCTGATAGAGGAATAAAATAAGGAAAAGAGCACACATGAATGCTTTTTAAATACACATTCTTTTATTTGGGACACTGATAAATCTGGAAGAAAAAAAAAACCCAGTCTCTTTTCTGCAATTCATCTATAAATACTCTTTAATACTGTGATTAAGCTTATAACATCCTTTCCATACACTTTGGAAGACCCCACCCCTTTGACAAGCTTCATCCTGTTTTTTTCAATAAACCCAGAGGCAATGGCTCTTGTTTAATAGAGAGAGAGAATGAAAGACAAGCCTTAAAGGGGGAAAAAAAGCTATTTTCAAAAGAAAAGTTGAAATACTACTAACTTTACCCAACTTAATTCCCGTCTGCTTCATCTCAAGCGCAAGCATGTTAGTGCATCAAACCAGAGTTCTTGGCCAAAAATGAATGTCACATCGATGCCTTAAACAGAATGGAAATCCTGCTTCCTCCAACCTGATATTGGCTTGTTTATTCCAAGTTATTCAAATCTCCCGAATGGAGGGTAGAAATCTGATATAAATTCCTGCTACAAAATGTTCCATCTGTTTAATAATAAGCCTTTGGAAACAGCTTGGGCGTTAGCGCAAAGGCCCCTGGAATTTTCAGTGGCTAGAGTAAGAAGTACATTTTCCAACATTTGAGAGATTAGGTTCCAAAAGAAACCACCACCTGAGGTTGGAGGTGATCATACAATCTTCGAGTTAAATTAACTTTAAGCCCAGCTGAAGGCCTGCCATATTCCCTTCTACCAATGCCTGGCACAAGTTGGACTTCACTCCCTCTTGGCTGAAAAACCATTTTCACATAAATCATGGAAGTCTATGCCTGAAGGATATTGTCTCAAGGCTCTCCGTGGCATGTGAAACTAAACATTTCAACAACCAGGACAGTATCATCCCAATGATTTACGGTCATTTACCCCCCCCCGCCCCCCCCCAAGGGTAAAGAAAAGAAGCCCAAGAAGGAACCGCAACCAAGAGTTTGCTTTGCAATCTTTCTCAATTTGGGACAGTGTGAACAGGACTAGCCTCTCCTTGTATGCTACGGGGAAGGTGCTGAAATGGAGAGACAACTTATCACTTTCTGTAGATCCCAAATTTTTCCCTGGCCAGCGCTTCCAAGGTCACTTCTACCCAATAAGTTTAATTCTTTTAAGTTTTGCTGTTAAGCATCACTGGCTGGAGAGGCTCTGGAAAATCCTTTAACCTGAAGTTTTTCATCATCTTCTGGCAAGCTGTGATTGTTCAACCATTTTCCTCCAGTGCCAAAGGTTATAAGCAGGTTGATCCCAATCCAATTACAGGCACGACTACTTCTCCACAAGAGGACTACTTGCCTAGAAACAGAGTGGGAGAAGTAGGAGGGAGTTGTGGTTTGTAACGGAGGGGAGAGCTGTGGGAATTCTGCAGGATGCTCCTGACCTTCTAGGGCAGGGCATGAATATATTGCATGCAGACTAAATGGGTTTCCTGCATGGCTGACGGAAATGCTTGGTTTGAAGCAGGCATGCTCTTACTGAGATGCATACATTCCTGTGCAGTTAAAACAATTAGGTCCAACAAATGCAAACCCCAGCACTTATTAATTAGCATCTTGGTTTATACCAGGGGTGTGTCCAACCTTGGCAACTTTTAATTCCCAACTTCAATTGCCAAAATTTCCCAGCATGGCTAGCTGAGGAATTCTGAGTGTTCATAGGTCTGAACTTTGCCAAGCTTGGACATCTCTGATTTACACTGTGGCAAAGGAAAGGAAAGAGCCCACCTTAACATGCACAGCTACCATGTGCTGAAAGATATAGGATAGTGTAAGCCAGTGGTCATTCTTTTAAATAGTCTGTCTTAACAAGCCAAATTCTGAAATTAAAACAAAACAGCAGGATTCTACAATCCACGTGTCAAATGAGCCAGCCTGCACAGAGATTTATCTTCTTTTACATCATTTATTCCAGCTTTGCTCGCTGTCGGGAAGAACAAAGAGCTACAGAGAAGAACGCTGCTCCAACCTACTTTCAAGTCCTTTTTTCAGTGACCTTTCGCAAGCGACACTTTTTGACCCCCCCCCCGCCCCCCATCATTCAAGGAAGCGAAAACCATTCCGTACTTTAAGAGCACAGCCTGTTCCCTGCCCCTCTTCAAGACCGTGGTACACACTGTGCAGGAGACAGAGAGAAATTCTTCCTCCGCCCCAGTTACCTGCCCATGTTTGAAAATCAAGCCATGATGAACGTTTCTGATCCTGCCACAAAGGAAGGCCGAGCCCCAAAGCGAACAACCACAACCTATAATTTTTGGCCACTGGGGACATTCCGTCCCTCTCCATTGCCAAACACTGCAAAGTCCAAGGCACCTGCGGAAGCAGACAGGACGGCAGCGGAGCGCATTCGAAGCATTTCGAAGCAAGCAAGCAAGCAAGCAAGCAAGGAGAACAGCAGGCCCGGCTCACGAGCTGCATCATGTTCCTGCTCTGAAAATTCGAGTGGCAGAGCGGTTCCCACCCACCCCCAACGACGATGTGGAGACGCAGAAGCCTCTTGAGGCCGCATGAAACAGGACAGCCACTCTTACACAACCACACATGCATAAAGTTTGGCACAGAAGCCTTAAGTCACTGAACATTTCAAAGTCTTGGGAGACCAGTTTATTTGGGGAGGGGGATGAGGATGCTTTATTTTACTTTTTTTTTTTTTTTTTTGGTCTGATAAAAGTCCTAGCAAACATCTGGTGTTTTCTGCAGCGTAAACCTGGCGCGCACATCAGAAGCGTAATTTGCATATCGCCAAGCGCTTCCTTCGTGATGAGCAGGTGGCAACACTGCGAGATAATTACAGAGAGAGAGAGAGAGAGAGAGAGAGAGAGAGAGAGAGAGAGAGAGAGAGCGCTCACCACCATCCACCAGGATGCGAGCTGGTGAGCTTGCACTCATTTTCATCGGGAGGAAAGAAAAAAATAAAAATAAAAAAGCAGCCATTGTAAAATATCATGAAGAATAATTTGTGCACGTTACCACACAAGTCTTTGAGGCCAGCGGTGAGGAAGTGGTCCATAAAAGCACCCCTCTTTCAAAAAGTCCTTAAAACATTTTTCCATTTAATGTTGCAAATTCTGCATCGGCATAATTAATTAGCTTTCCCGCCACTGCAGGTTGCTTTAAGCTCGCGCTGCTGGGACTGACTAACATTCCTGAGAAAGTTGAGCCTTGTAAACCAACAGGAGCAGATTATTCATCCCACCCCCAGCCAGGCCCCGCTTTCTTCGGTCAACTGCTTCCTTAGCAAACACTGCAGTTGTGGGCCAGACACACCAACCTCAAGTAGCGCTTAGACCAGACAGGACACCCGCCCCCCCGCACCTGTTCTAGAGGAACCCCTAGACGGAGCCAAGGAGGAAGCAACATAAGCAGGAAGCAACTTATGTTCTCTTCTATTCCAAGGTGATCTGGGGAGATGCAGGCGTTTCCTTCCCCCCAAAAGGAGCGGAGGGGAAAGGATTGTCAGCGATCCCGAGAGGCGAACTCTGCAAGAAAAGGGCATTGAACGGTAGCTCCGAGACCAGACTACGGGATCATGTTGGCCACGCAGCTGGAAGGAGGATCAGGCGGTCCCATGGATTCCCCTTGGTGCTTTCGGATCGGTCCAGATGCCCGTAAGAGGGGAGCCTGGTGTCTTCTGTCCTGACCGAGACATCCCCGTTGTCTGAATAGAAGATGCGCCCTGGCGCTCGCCTCCTTCTCTCCCCACCCCCCGGCCTCACTGGCCATCTCTTAGTGAAGCTCTTGGCATCCCTGTCACCGGAATTCGTAAATGGGTGCGCTGTACTCAGGGACGTGAGTCAGATTCAGAGATTGATACCTGGGGGAGCAAGGAAAAACAGGTTGAGCAGAACAAACGCGGGCTGATTCTGCAGTAGGTTCCCAAGGCGGCAGCCTCACAGCATCGGAGAGCCCGGGTGGCACAAGGGTTAGAATGCAGGACTGCAGGCTGATTTTGCCGACTGCCAGCAGCTCAATCCTGACCGGCTCAAGGTTGACTCAGCCTTCCATCCTTCCGAGGTGGGTAAAATGAGGACCCAGATTGTTGGGGGCAAGAGGCTGACTCTGTAAAATGGCTTAGAGAGGTGCTGTAAAGCATTGTGAGGTGGTATATAAGTGCTACGGCTATCAAGCTATGGCTAACCACAGCAAAACATGCGGGATGGTATCTCTAAAATTTGGGCTTGGGCGAGGAAGAGTTCAATTTCCCATCATCCCCTATCTTACCATTCTGAACTCCTGTGATAGTAATAGCCCTCTATACATGCTGCAGATTTCTGAAAGCATATGTAATAAAATCCAGCGAAGGATGCCCCGCTGATGTCTTTAATGGTGTGATCTGGGACTAGGAACTGCTCCTGCACAGAAATTAAACACGTAAAGACAGAGAAAGCGAAAGTATGGGTTTTTTTTTTAATCTGAAAGATGATCTTTCAAGGGAATTACAATTCTTTCAAATATTGTTATGTATGAAATGTACATGCTGAACCAAATCACAGTTTGGAGCGGTGTTTCTCAACCGTGGCAATTTTAAGATCCGTGGACTTCAAGTCCCATAATTCCTCAGCTGAGAAATTATGAGGAACTCTCGGTTTTGGGAGTTGAAGTCTTAAAGCTGCTAAGGTTGAGAAACACTGCTCTACAGATGGCTACAAGGAGCAAATAAACGTAATTTTACTTTTCTTAAGATTAAGGCGAACGGAAAGTGTAGGATCTTTAAATCCAAGTTTAGCCCCTTACCACTCCTAAGTCACCCTCTGGAACTGTCCTCAAACAACTTACTTTCCATCTCATGAAGACAAAGTCATCATTCTTCAGATCCTCATAATCAAAATCGTCAGAGTTAAATATTTTTGCGAACTGGTAAAAGGCTGGGAACTTCCCCTAGGAGAAAAGGGGGAGACCCGCATCACTGATGCCCTTGACATTCCCGGGCCCCCATTTAAGAGCGCGCCCACACTCCAAAACCAACACTATCCCAGGTTCCCACTAAGATGGGGCACCGTGCTGCTGCAAACACCCAAGAAATGCTCCTTCTTCTTCCCCCAAACGTGACCTCGCATGGAAAGCTAGCAAGTCAGGGAGAATCCTGCACGAATCTTTTCCCCGTTTTCTTCCTCCGGCGTAGACTAGCTCTTGCCTCTCTCAGTCCCCGCCCACTGGGGCAGGGGATCCCAGGCTGGGCAAAATCAAGGGCAAGGGACTCACCCAATGTTTACGATCCACGTCTTCGTCTGCATCCCATTTCCGGGTTAAAAACGGATGCTTTTTACTGATTATTTCTCCTTCAAAGAAAGTAGTGAGTGTTGGATACTCCTAAGAGTGAAACGGGCACAGGATGAACATACAGAAGAAATCAAGGATTATTTTTTTCCCCCTACTTTCCTAAAGCAGTTGCCGTTGGGCACTGAAGAATGCTTCCGGAAAGAGAGGGTCTCTTCCAGACACATACCTCAGTAAGGCCTTTAATCTTTAAGTATCCACAGAGATAGGAGTTATCCATGTCAACATGCTGGAAGACAAAAGGAAAACGTATCCTCAAAGATCAGGGCTTAAGGCTGGAACAAACAGATCAAACAACACAGAGAATCTTCCTCTGCAATTGGGAAAACAAGCACAGCGCCCTGAACTTCAATTAAAGTGGAACTAACTCCAGGTTTACACACCCCTCTCCCTCCTTCTGCTACATTAGTGGGAAGTCCTTCTGAAAAGTCAGTGTTAAATTATGCTAATTATGCTGACCGCCAGGAGTTTGATTCTCACTTGCTCAGCCTTCCATCCTTCTGAGGTGGGTAAAATGTGGACCCAGATTGTTGGGGGGGGCAAGAGGCTGACTCTGTAAACCGCTTAGAGGGGACTGGAAAGCACTGTGAAGCGGTATAGAAGTCTAAGTGCTGTGGCTATTTCAAGAAGCTACAGCAGCATTGAAAACAGCCTTGTTCTCCCAATTCCTGCACCACATTTAGACCACTGGCATCACTCATCGAGACAGGAAGAAAGGCCCACGTATGCATTCCTTGTTCTTCCATCTAGCCTGCAACTCTCCTTCCCTGGAGCTTCCTCATTCTACAGCCCTTTCTGTCAAAGACAAAAGCCCCATCGGGTTCCTCTTTGCCATTTCTAACCTCCTTGGCTCAAGCAGTTACACAACTCCCAGGCGTCAACCTTTCCATGTATCAAGCTGGCCTTGAAAACAAAACCCACAGATTCACCCGTCCGCATCATCGGCTTAGAAAGAACTTGCGAGAAGAGTTTGGAAAAGAAAAAGCAGCCCAACCTTCTCTTTCATTTCAAAGGTCTACTTTCATAGAGTCACCTGGAAAGAACTGTCGTCAAATATAGCCCAGGTAGCAAAAGCAGAACAATGACCAGCGGATGCTATTCGGGGCTCCTGACCTTTACGGCAAAGGCACCGTTTTGTCTGTGCTTTGTGGGGGCAAGTCAGATTACAGTGGAAACAATGCAGGTCTGGGTCTAAAAATTGCCTGGAGGTTGGATGGAAATTGTCCAAGAACATCTGAGTCTTTGGAGTCATAGCCTCTGGGTGGCCTGGGCATAAAAGAACGGACTCTGCTCGGCTGACATTTTATTTCCAAGATTGGCCAGCCAGAAGACCATGGTTTGCTCCTTTGGTGTCTGACAGCCGGGATATAACCTTGTGGAAATAGGTTTCCAGGGTATCATCAGCTGAAGATATCACATCCAAAGAGACCTCTGAAATTACCAGCAAACCTATTTTGCTGACTTAAAGGTGCATTGAAGGCTGCAACAACTTCCCAAACACCAACCCTGACAACAGCAGAAAGACCTCAAACTGAAACATCTACAGCTCCAGGAGCAGCCAAATAAATGCCTTAATGCCCCAAAAGGTGTGTGCTCACCTACTGAGCCCCAAGAGCTCAATTCACCGCTAAGCCAGGGTGAAAACTCCCTGGTCTCCTGGAAGCACAAGCCGTCGAAGGCTCCGGTCTTTCAGTGCTTATTTGCTTATTCTACTCCACTGATGGGGCTTACATGGGGCTTCATGCAACTGTCCCAGGGAGCTCGCAACCATCCACTGGGATTTTTTTTTTTTAAAGCACCATTTTATCTCCCCTCCTGGTGCCAGACCGATCGTCCTCCCAGCTCAGCCTCCATCCTAGCCTAAAGGAAAGATCTTCATGTCTCCTCTCCAGAAGGCTAAAAGGGCGGGGCGGGGCGGGGGGGTGGCACTGACAAGAGGCGCCTCCAAGCCCCACCAGGCAGCAGGTTTCCAGGAAGGGGGTCTGGAGCCTCCCCATCTGAGCTACCAGGAACCCCCCCCTACACACACACCCCTCCCTCCTCTCCCCCTTCTGCCCGCCAGTTTGACAGGAGGACTTGCTGGGCACATCTGGGTGCTGGGGGGGGGTGTCCTTGGGGAGCCAAATCCCAGGGGCTTCCTGGCAGTCAGGCATGCTTAGCTCCGGCCATGCAGCCCCCCCCAAAAAAATCCGGGGATCTTTGCAGCCAGGTGTTCTTGCAAATCCCGGCAAAAATTGGGGAAGGCGGGGAAGATGATGCCAGGCGCAAGGTGCGTGTTTGGGGTGGGGGGGGGAGGACTGGGCGAGGCAGCATCTCTTTGGGGCTTTGGGGGGAACCTTCTACCGCCCCCCACCAAATTCGGGGTCCACGAAGCCCGCCTCCGCCCCCCATAAGGACCCCTCCTCAGCCTTCGTGCCATAGGAGACCCCGGGGGAAAGCACCCCCCTTTTCGCCCCCTTCCCCTCCCAGGACTACTACGGAGCGCCTCCTCCTCCTCCTCCTCCTCCTCGGCCCCTTCAAGGGGAAGGGCCAGGGGCGCGGGGGGGACGGGGGCCGCCGGGGAGGATGGGTCCCGGGCTCCCCGACGGGCCGGGCGGGGCGGCTCACCTGCACCACCACCTCCACCTCGTAGGCGTTGCCCTTGGAGCGCTGCTGCCCGCGGAACTTGGCGCCGCTGTAGAGGCGGCTGGTGCTGACGCCGGGCTGCGCCGTGTTGATGGGCGGCGGCGGCTCCAGGCGGGCGGCGGCGGAGGCTCCCGGGGCCGGCTCCGCGGGGCAGCGGCAGGAGCTCCGCACCGGCATCTCGGCCGGGTCTCCCGGCGCCAGCGCGGGACGGGCGGGCGGGCCTGGCTCGTCCTCCGTCACCAGGCCGGCCTCCCTGCCCGCCTGCAGCCCGCTCCGCCTCGGCTCCGGCCCGCTCCCCTCGCCGCCGCCGATTGGCCGCCCGCCGGGCCACGCCGCGCCCCGATTGGCCGCGCTCCGGTCACGTGCGCGGCGACGGGGGAGAAGGGGACGCCGCTTCCGCTGGGGACACGGCGCGGCGGAGGGGACAAACTGCGTTTGTGACGCCGATTGGCCGCCCGCCCCGCCACCGGCAACATGGCGGCGCCCTGAGGGGCGGAAGGGTTACCCGAGGGCAGGAGGAGAGCCGCCTGAGAGGAGTCGGCTTCTTCCCGGGAGGATCTCTGGGCGGTGGCGAGGCGCCTCCGAAGGGCTGGTCCCCGGCATGTGGCGAGGGAGCCTCGGGCGGTTGCTAGGCAAGGGGACCCTCGCGCGGCTTCGCCCCTCGACCCGTCCGGAGGCTTCCCCCACGGCCCTCAGGCGGCCTTATGCGGCCCAGGCAGGTGAGGCGGAGGTTATACGCCCTGTGGCCGCTGTGACCCTATTTCCCCTTTATTCCGGTTTTTAGATTTACTCAGATTTACTCATTTTTTTAAAAAAGTCTCACTTTTGTCCTTTATTTGGGTCATCTAACTTTTTATGGTACAAATGGTACCATTTAATGCACAGTCTTTCACATCCGTGGAAAATCATGGACATTTTGTCTTAAAAAAATAAACTTATGCAGTTTGACATAGGTATATTTGTCTTAAAAAAATAAACTTATGCAGTTTGACATAGGTATATTTATTAGAATTGTGCCTAATTATGCTTCAGTTTATTTGGACGGTGTCTACTAGGTACGTAGATCATCTATTTGTCTATTATTTTCTTGCAGAAAGGAAAAGATTTTACCAAAATGTTAGCGTCTCCCAAGGAGAAAGTAAGTACAGTTTTACATTATATTTGTTTATTTGGAACCATTTATTCTATTGCAAGATGCACTGGAGGAAAAAAGGAGTTTTATGGACAAATGGGAACTGAATCTCTGTCTTGCTCTATATCTTCTAAAATCTCTAGCATCTTTGTGGCAAGTTGGAAATCCAAGTTCAGTGCAGGATATTGCACTGTTGCAAACAAAATCACCAAACCTTTGGCTGTTCTCCAGAGACTTTCATAATTATGAAAACTTTTGTCAATATCTCACTATCAACGTCAAAGCCTATGTAGTACTGTGAGCTTTATATCTAATGTGGACTTCTCAGGAATATGGTTGGCCCTCAGGATGCTCTTTTCACCCAATCTAGGAAGGTTTTCTTATGTTTTTAAAGGCAGCGTTACATGTATTAATGTAAGAAGGGGCAGGAATAGGACAAATGAATATTCAAACATTCACCTCTCGAAGCTGAAGTACAGCAAAATAAAAACAAGGTATAGATCAGCAATATTTAGTGCCATGGTCTCTTCTTTCTCTTCAGATGGTTTTGAAATCAACTTGGACAGCCGGAAGCTGAGAACCCCGCAAGCTAAGCTCTTCACAGTGCCCAGTGAGCCTCTGGCTTTGGCTGTGGCAACTGAGTGGGATTCCCAGCAGGACACGGTCAAGTTCTATACTATGCACCTGGTGGGTGAAAGGAATGAGCAAGTGGAATTTGGGAACCATAGTTGGGTCTCTGAATAAATAGAGCCAAGATTACTGAAATTATAATTATATTAGGAGAATGTGAGCCGTATTTACAAAAGTTGGCATGGTAAATGAGTTAGATAATAACTGCTTTCTACACTTACTATGTTAAAAAACAGTAAAAACAAAGAATTTGGCATATTAGACACCCCCCCCCCCCCCCCAAAAAAAAACCTAAGCCCAATCCTTGTGTAAACAGAAAGCTGTTTATAGTTTGGTAAAGCCAAATATGTAAATTACGAAAAGTCGATAGGCCAAATTTAATGAAAATCTGGATTTGTATTAAAATCATGTGTAGGATGCAAATTTGTATGGGCTGTGACAGAGGGAACATTTGCACAAGAAATTTGGTGCTTTGCTGTTCAGCTATGTAGATTCAAATAGCTTAGAGTCTGAAGTCCGGATCACTTTATGTTCTTTAGACCAACTTATGCAACACAGCTTTGGACAATCCATCACAGCGAAGCAAAGATCAGCTCATCCAGGCAGCTCTGAAGTTCTTGGAGACAGATACTATCTGGTAGGCATTCATTTTGGCTTCTATGGTTTATTTAGGGTTGGAAATTTAAAGACTTCCTTGTGGTGCAAGATTTAGATCACCCAAGAAGAACAATGGATAATTGGGCCAGTCATCTCACAGGGATGTTGTTTATGGGAGGCAACAGAGGAAGGTTTCCGTGTAAACTATCGTGGATGTCTGGAGGAAAAGTGACCCAATAAAAAAATTAAAAATTCAAGCTAGGTAATAAAGGGGCAGGAAACATTTCTACATTTTGGGCAATGTAGTCATTTCCATGTGGCAGGATTATGTTTTTCTTTGGAATAAGGGAAAATTAAAAGCTGGGGATATTAAGATGCAAAAGTGACTCTAAGGCCTGACTGCATTGTTGTTTTTTAAACTTCCCCTGGATTCTTAGCTACCGGGTAGAGGAGCCACCAGCCTTAGTAGAACTGCAGAAGAATGAATGGGATCCAGTAATTGAATGGGCTGAGAAAAGGTAAGTATAAGCAGTGTGTCAGTGCCGAAGATCTCGGATTCTGACTTTGTTTCATCCTTGCCTGATGTATCAAAACTCCATTCCATCTCCAGATACAATGTTGTGATTGGTACTTCGACAAGCATCCTGGGTCCTACCCTCCCACAAAGCACAAAGGACACCTTTATTAGCCACTTGGCTTCATACAACAGCTGGGCCCTTCAAGGTATGTCACATAACATCCTGAGATCTGGTGGATTTCAAACTCCATTGGATTAAACATTCTTCATGTATTTCTGTGTGCTGGTGGTGCTGATTGGGAAGGTGATCGGGAGATTCAGGGACCTTTCCCTTTTTAAATTGAATTTTTTTAGCCAAATATCCTCATCTTCAAGCATAGGAAAACGTACTTTATAAGAGAAAGTGACAATTGTTCCCCTTTTATTAACACATAAAACTAGTTTGTTATTAAGTCTTACAATATTTTCCTCACCAGGCATAGAATACCTGATAACACAGCTAAAGTCTCTGATTCTTTCAATGAGCCTGGTTGACAAACATTTAACAGTTGAACAAGCTGTCCTTCTATCTCGGCTGGAGGAAGAATATCAGGTAAACTTTACAACACGACAGGTTTTATACATTCCTATATGTGGATTCAGACACCGTGCTCAGCAGTATTGCAGTCCGTTTGGTTTTGGCTCGTCTGTAATGGAAACCTGTTGTTTTCTAAGCTGTGGTTTATGGTTTTGTCTCATGTGTGAATCTGGGGTTATTTTTTGCATCATGGCTGAGGATATTGTGAACAGCCATCAGTGGACCAAAATGGAGATCAGGAACATCCAAACTGAACTGGGCTTTAGTGAAAGGAATGTCCCTTAGGATATAAGCAAACAGTTCCTCTTCCTGGAAAAATCTGCCAAGTGCCTTGAAGTTGCCCCTGGGAAGGTTCAAGATGGTTGGTTGATTTTTCCAGGAAGAGGAACAGTTGACGTATGGTTAGCCCCGAGTCCTACGGTGGAAAGCAAGGCCTGCAATTTTGTTATTTCTCTCTTTTGCTCTAGATCCAGCACTGGGGGAATGTGGAATGGGCCCACGACTACGAAAGGTATGACTTGCGAGCCCGCACAGCTGCTGCCACCCTGTTTGTCCTCCTTTGCTTAGAAAATTCCACCATCAAGCACAAGCTGCTCCAGCACTAAGGACCTGGGATGCAGGAGAAGGGAGAGTGTCCGTCTGGATGAGCCTGAAGAGGGATTCCGGTGGGATGGATGATGGAGAGGTGCTGTGGGCATGTCTGGGCCACAGAGGAGGAGACATGACTCTTCTCTCCCATGCCCTTGGAGGCTGATTCTCCCTGGAAGTTTTGGGAGCGGCTTCCTATCCGTCTCACCTGGGCTGGCCACTTCTGACAGGATTTCCTTGTTTCCCAGGTTCTGCCTTTTGCCCGGCAGGTAGACAGATTTCAGGAGCCGAGTGCTGGAATGGGTGGAAGGCCACATGTTCTGTCCTGGAGGACCTGTAGCTAGAGGCGATTAGAGATGGGACTGTATCACAGCAATTGAACAACTCTATTATTAAGACTGAAGGCACCCTAGCTAGTCCCAACACGAGACACAGGCTCCAACACGCCCCCAATAGGCCCCTTGGTGACCATAAATATCCTGCTCCCTCCGATTAAATTTAAAAGGGATCACATTGCAAACCAAAATGGTAGGATCCACTGCCGCCTTTATTTTAAAGAAACATCTCTCGATTCCAAATTAGCTCCATAAACTTTTATTAGAAAATAAAAAAAACGGTGAATACAACTGAGTACTTTGTTTGGAAGTGTGTTTTGAAGACAGACAAAAACTGATGCATTTTGTTCTTTTTAAAAGAAAATATGTCTGATCATTAAACATTTTGGGGGATTGGGGAATCTCTGCAGTGGGATAGGTTCTTTGTGTTCCGTGGATTAGATTCAACCAGCGGGGGACCACCAGGCAGGGTCATTGCTAGTTGCAGAATCTAAATCCAGGAATGGAGCTTGTACGCTTCAGTACAGAAAGCCGCTACTGCTCTAGGATGTCCAAGTTATCCAGCTCGCTACGGATATGATCAATATAATGATGGAGTTCTAGCACACGGTTCCGGTTCCGGTGGATTTCATCCTTGTGAACCTTCAGGGATTGAAAAACGAAGGTGGGAAACCTGAAGAAGCTTCAACTCTCACTCAGGAGGTCTCTTGGTTTCTTAAGGTTAGTTAGGAGAACGTTTCTGCTCACATTTCCCTTCGTAGCCAGCTCCATGGAAAGGGCCGTTCAGTGCACCAGAAGTTCTCCCTTTCTCAGGAACGGCTCTTCTTTTGAGGAAGACCTAACGATTTACGCTTACCTTTTCAATCAGGTTGTACACCCGGTTGTTAGCTTTGGTGATGATTTCATCTTCTCGGTTGTCAATCTTCAGCAGGTGAATGTCATGGGAGGCATTGACCGCATTGACGATGGTGTCTTTGTCCACAAAGAGCTGGAAGCAAAGCCGTTGAGAAAAGGTCCTGAGGAGCACCTGATGGGTGCGTGTATGTGTGGTGTCTGATGCCTGATCCAGAAGGAGAACATTCCCCCTCTTCTGGTCCCGGGGGTAGTTACGGGTGGGGTGGGGTAGGAGAAGCTTACCATGCGGACTTCATCCGGCATCTCTTCATCGTACTCGCTCTTCACTATCTTCTCCAGCGTGTTGATGGCTGTTTCTAAGAGCTTCTCGTGATGGTGATTTTCAAGATCCCGGCATTGCGCCATCGTGCAGCAGAAGGTTAAGGAAGAGCCTTGCTCGCTTCAGAGAACCGAGGCAAGCTTTGTTTTATCAACTCAATGCAGGACATACATGAACCAGCTTGCTCACAGCTTTTCTCTACATAAATGAGGACACCTCCGCGGCACTCAAAAGGATATAGTCCTTGTTCGTTCTCTATAAAAATTGAGACGAGATCAAGAATGTTCCTTTCAAAATCTTTTATAACTTCCTGGAAGGGGGTGGGGAAGCAAGACGGAGTGATTTTGAACTAAACCCAATTCCAAGACTTTTCACATTCCAATAGGATTACAAACTTCATTTCTTCTGGTTTGCTGACGTGGCTGGATGTGAAAAGATTGGGGGATGACTGGTACGGCATAAGGCCGTGTCTAGGGATGCAGCTTTTTTGCCGTTGTGTTTAAGAATATAAGAAATGCTCGGCAACGTTGAATGGTCTGGTAGAAACTGACCAGCCCATGCTTAGTAGATCCTAACAAGAGTCTTCAAGGGACACCCCCTCCCCCCATTGTCTTACCTCCAACTGGTCAACCAGCTGCATCTCCAGAGACATCAACGTTTCATACAGCTTGGTGATTTCATCGTTGTACTCCACCAGTTTTAACTCGGCCATCTGGGAGTCTGCGAGGTTCTGAATATCTTCGATCATCTACTGGTGGAATACAAGACAGAAAATATTTTTCTCATGCCCCGATTCCTCGGTTAACGGGAAGAAAATGCTGGCACAAACGCTTGAACAGTGGAACTATTTCCACAGGAGGTTTCAAATGGCTGAGTGAACCTCTGGAATATGCAGGTTCCTCAATATGGCTAGGGTCCTAAATGTAAGTACCTGTGAGTAAAAAAAGTCTAGCACAAGATCCTCCCTTGTCAGGCAACGCAAATACTCAACTTACAACTATTCATTTAGTGACCAAAGTCCCAACAGTACCGGGAAAAGGGACTCATGATTAGTCCTCACACCTACGACTGTTGCAATCTCCCCACAATCATATGATCAATTCGGCGCGTGGCAACATCCCAGGATGGTGTGATCACCATCTGTGATCTCCCTAACCAGCTTCCGACAAGCAAAGTCGCTTAAGGACAGTGTGATTCACTTAACTGCAGCTATTCACGTAACAACTGCGATGAAAGTAAAATCGGGCACAATTTAATGGCCACTTTGCTTAGCGATGGAAATTCTGGCCTCAGCAGCGGTTGTCACCTGTACCATTTGTGTGTCTTTCTTTCAGGCCTGGTTTTAAAGGAGGCTTCCTGGATAAACCTTGGTTTGCTCAAATAGTTCGTCCCGCTCTTCTGGTTCACAAAGCAAGCAAGGTTTATGATAGTCACAATTGTCATCAAAAACAAAATCGACGGGCGCGGAAAGGCACTGGGGTGACAAGGCGCCAGATTTCGCAACATTCATGTGGCAAGGAAGCTACCCACCCCACGGTTTTTCTCAAACTCATGAATGATTCTGGTGCCCTCATCTTGGTTGTCTTTCAGGGCTTCGTTGAGGCACTCGTAGAAAACGGCAATCTCGTCCTCTCGCCTTTGGTGCTGCTGCAGGCCGTATTCGAACAGCGTTTGGCAAATCTCGACAAATTTACTCTTGTAGGTGTGGTTGGAGTCAAGGAAGCAATAAATAAATAAGTAAAACTAAGGCTGCTTCGTGGCACGTCTAAGGCCTGCCTGGGGAAATCCTGGCTGAAACCGGAGCAGGTGCTCCTGCCTCGAAGGGGCCAGTCTGAATCTGAATCGGTTATTCACTTTCCTCAGGTCCCAGCTGAGGGAGATCTGTCTGGAGCATGGAATGGGGTGGGGGGGAAGCGAACCAGCTTAGTTGCCCCAGATGATGCTACTTGAACACAGAATTTTGGAATTCCCTCCCCTTATGGCTCATCAGAGTTATTTTGTTTGTTTAAAATGTGACACAAGTCCCTCACAACACCAGCGAACTGCTTCAAATAGTCTTTTCAAGATCCATCCCTCAGGAAGGATATGTCTCTAACAGCGCTGGTACGCCAGGAAGGTAGATCAACTTAGATGCTTCAGGGTCTTCTGCAAACATGCTGTCGAAGAGATAAGACCCATCCAGATACTCCACGTAGGCAGACTTGGAAGAGAAATCACAAAAGTCAGATGAAGGCTGCAAGGTTACCTCGGCTTTAAGAACCCCCTGGGGCAAATGACCACATGCAAATGGCATGGAAGGCTTACACCTGGAGGTAAACTCACCCTGTGCACTCAAGTATGGTGCGGGAGAATTTGATTTTAGCCCAGCAGGATGAGGGTTTGTAAATTAGGATTTGAGGCTTAACCAGGATCCAGCTCAGTGTGTGAACCTAGCTGTGGCATTCCTCCAGTTGCTTCAGGTTTTATATTTCAGCACAGGGAATTTCACTCCAGAGCTAAGCAAATGGCACGTGGACAGATTTTCCTTTCGAACAGCAAAACGGACGCCCGTTTCTGACTCCGTTTTAACCGGGTGGTTTTTAAGGTGCCATTAAAACTTGGGGGGGCGGAAGGCACCCAGCAGCTGCCCCTCGGGGTCCGGTGACCCAGAGCCAGTGAGAGTGCCACTTACCTTGTGGTATTCCACCTCCTTTTCCCTGGCTTCCCACTCCTCCTGCTTGGCCAGGGCCAGCGTTTCCCCGTGCCTCATCTCCTCGATGGCATATTGGTACTTCAACAAGGCCATCTCGCGCTGGCAGGAAGGCGAGAAGGGAATGACAGCTGAGATTAGAACTGGGTTCTGAGGTCACGCAAGCAAAATCTCCCCAAGGGGGGGGAGCAGAGTGGTGGTGGGGGTCTCGCTACCGGTTTATAACGAGAAGCGGCTCTTGAGATCCTTACCATGTTTTCCTCCACCAGTCTGAAATCCAGGTACACGAGATTGGGCAGGTAAGCCGCAATGAACATGGAGTACACTTCATTGTCACACACCGGGTTCCCAGTGAGGTTGAGTGTGCGCAGGTTTTTGAATGTCCTGAGATAAATCATCTGTGGTAGATGGACAAAAAGGCTCAGGTAATCAAGAAGCCTATAAGTGTTTAATACAAATATTGCAATAGTCACAAATGACAAAAAAAAAAAAAAGAGCTGGAAGGATTTCTCATTCAGGAAGCTTCTGTTTAGAAATTTTAGTATAGTGCTTCGGCCTGAAGGAATTTTATTCTCAGTTTTAATATTTCCAATACAAGTTCAACATTTTTTTTTTAAATATTGAGATCCACAATATATTACAATGCATTGTTAAATTATTTGAATGGTTCAACCCACAGACATGTTGTAAAGATCGTAATGCTTTCCACCCTTCATATTTATTTAGCATTAAATAAATCCTAATTATTAAGTCATCAATAGTTGTTTCCTTAGCCGATGATTCATTGTATAGCCACGGGTGTGTCATTGTCCCCTTATATCATCTTACAATAGAAGAGAAACCAGAAGAGGAGCAACATGAACCAAAATATACATTCTGAGTTCAAAAATATCTAAATGCCCAAGAAAACGGGTGCAAAGATTTATAAATCCTTTGTAATTAAAAATTTACATTTTCCAGATCGTTGATATTATTATTTCCTATGGAAAAGACTTGGAGTTCTAGTAGCGTATCCAGATTCTCAATCCTGGAGATTCTGTTGTTGTACAGACTAAGGTCCTGCAACTTAACCAACGTGTCTAGGCCTTCGATTAATTCGATATTATTGAAGGACAAATCTGTGGGAACAAATTTGGAAAGTATGAGTCCCAAAAGGAAGCCACCAACACCAACACCCCCCGCCCCCAGACAAGACCTGCAAACCCAGACGGCCATTTGTAGAGCATTGCTGTTAAAACGTTTTACAAGCTCTTATTGAATGGGGCAGGGTATAAATCCAATAAATAGGCAAATGAAATCCCTGTCATTAGCTCTTTCTCACATCAGATGTTTTCCCAATGCGGATAACCATCTGATCAGAAAGATAAAACTTCTCTCTTACGGGAAGTGCAGCCTAGGAAAAGCAAAAAAATCTTAGCCATAGACAAAGCATTTTGTCTATTCAGGTCAAGATGCACCCGGCAGGGCAGGGCAGGGCAGGGCAAACAGCTAAGAGGTAGCAAAGCTTCTGTTTGCTGTGGCGTTTGACACAGTTTCAGATGGCCCGCAATTGCTAGATGGAATTCTTATTGACATGTAGAAACATATATAATATATATATACACACGCAGGGTGGCACTTCCAGAGATTTATCTGATGTGGCTCTCATTACCTTACCTAACCAAACCAGATTAACCAGAGAGTCCAGTGCTTCTATCTTTTCAATAATATTGTTGTCGAGCTGCAATTTTGTGAGGTTCACAAACTCCCAAAGATTGTCGATCTTCAGGATATCTGAGACCAATAAGAAAGAAAAGAACCACTTACTTTAAGTTGGCTACAAATGTAGTCCATATCCTAGCAATACCAAGGTAGATATTAACTGAGACAAATCACAGCATCGAATGTCAAACTCTCACACTTCCGTAGTATCTAATTCTCTAAAGACCCAATTTTAAACACATTATTTACAGTGGGTCAGCACTACACAACATTCACAAAGAACTGGGCAGATTTTAGCCCAGGGAATAATTTATCATCTGACACCTGCAAAACAACGAAACATGGAGAGTATCCCAACACATCCAGTGGTGGGATTAAAAATTTTTTACTACCGGTTCTGTGTGCGTGGCTTGGTGGACGTGGTTTGGCAGGTGTGGCAGGGGAAGGATCCTGCAAAATCCCCATTCCCTCCCCACCCCACTAACCTGCTTTCCAGCTCCGTTCTCCTGTGCAGGACAACCAAAGGAGACCCAGCCAATCCGCTGGGACTCAATGGGAGGCGGAGAAGAGATGGGGGGGTGAGGCCAGTCAGAGGTGGGATTTGCCAGTTCTCTGAACTACTCAATATTTCCGCTACCGGTTCTCCAGAACTGGTCAGAACTGGCTGAATGCCACCTCTGAACACATCTGCCAAACAAATCATCTTATGATCTGACACCTGCAAAACAACCTTGGAGAGCATCCCAACACCTAGAGGCCAACAGATTACAGAAGGATGGGGTAGAAAGGCAAGAAGTAGAAAGAGAAGAGGGAATTATCAACAGACTAATTATGGACCATCCAGTCAGGGTCAACTCTTAGCAATCACATGGATAGGCTTTCTCTGGGCCCAGGCCTTCCAATACCAACTGTAGCTTAGTTAGCAAAATAACTCAAAATTATGCCCGACCAGTCGAACGCTTTCCTGCAGCAGCTTCTTCCAAACCTTTCCACAAACCTTCTTAAATACCAAGTTGAACTACTAGGTGTTCCTGTGGCAAGTTGCAGACTAGCAAGTCTTTGCAGTGAAAAGCGAGGAAGCCTTTTTTGAGAAATGAAACGTTCTCTTTTGTGCCCCTGTCCTTACTTCTGAAATCAAGTTGTAGGGCTTTGACCTCTTTGAAGTTGATGCCTTCCTTCTTAGCCAGCTGGCCTGCATCATCCTGAGGGCCCTGCTCCTCCACTGCTTTCTGCAGCATGTCCTCGTTGATCACATTGGGCTCGATGCTGTCATAGAAGCGACTCATGTTCGGGAGAAAGTCGGGCTGAGGTTAACCGGATTCCGTGGTTGGCCCTGAAATGCAAGGAAAAATGACCCCCATTGCTGGGATCTCTCTATAGAGGCGCTGAACAGAAGTCTGAAATCTGACTTCTGAACACAACAGATTAACAGAGTTGGAAGGGACCTTGTAGGTCATCTAGTCCAACCCCCCGCCCAAGCAGGAGACCCTGCACCATTTCTGACAGATGACAGTCCAGTCTCTTCTTGAAAGCTTCCAGTGATGAAATTCCTGACAACCAGTGGCCACCAGGTCTTGCCAAGTATCAGGGACCCCCCCAGTGTGCCCATATTACAGGCAGTCTTCGACTTACAGCAGTCCCCGTTTAGTGACTGCTCAAAGTTACAACAGCACGAAAAAAAGTGACTTGATTGTTTTTCACAGTTACGACCGTTGCAGCATCCCTATGGTCATGTGATCAGAGTTTAGGTGCTTGGCAACTGACTCACATTTATGACGGTTGTGGCAACCCAGAGGTCACGTGATCCCCTCTGGCGACCTTCTGACCAGCAGCTGGATTCGCTTAACGACCATGTGACTAACTTACCAGCTGCAGGGATTTCCTCGACAACTGTGGCGAGGAAGGTCGTAAAATGGGGACAAAGCTCGCTTTGCAACTCCCTCGCTTAGCAACGGAAATTTGGCGCTCGGTGGTGGTCGCAAGTCGAGGACTACCTGTATCTCTTCTGCACCTGTCTTGGTTGCCGGTCTTCTTTAGGTGGCTCAAGGCCTACCTGGGCCCGGGGCCCGATTTCTTGGGGTAATCGCTTCTCCCTGCGTGGACGGAAGCTTCTTTATCCCGAGTTTGGGTCCGCGCTCGGCAGCTCGGGACCCTCAGAGACCCTCGGCCCTGTCGAAGGAAGGCCTCGTTGCTGTGGAAGCCGCGTCCGTTGCTAGGGAATGTCACGTGACCTCTATCGGATCCCTCCTGGCTTTCTTCTCGCGTCGGAGCCCTTAGCAGGTGAGTTCGATTCGCATTCGCTTTGCGGGACGTCTGTCAGAGCCGGCGCACCAAGGAAAAGCCACATAAACAGCCGTTCCCTCTCGGGATTGGTTGTCGGAGCCCCACGGCTTGAGCATCGCTTACGAATGCTACCCAATAGTCTACGGATTTCTCCCGCAGCGTTCTCCAATGGCGAAGCGGGGAAGGCGGGATCCTCTTCCTCCCCTCCTCTTCGTCGTCTCTCACAAGCGGCCCGTTTTCCAAGTCGAGTCTCCCTGGCCTGACAGTGATGGGCGTCTCGTTCTTCCAATGACAAAGAGCCCCTCGGGAACCCCGTCCAATAGAAAGGGAGCCGGGGCCGTCCTCGGGCGCGAGCGCCGCCGCGTTTGGCCGCCGCCGCCGCCGCTCAGGCAGGGGAGGCGGGACGAGGTGGCGGAGTGAGAGGCGACGCGAGGCGGATCAGGCCGGGAGGCCGGTCGCGTTTGTTGTCATCCTTAAGATGGAGTTTCTGCTGGGGAACCCCTTCGCCACCCCGGTGGGGCAGAGCCTGGGTAAGCCGGCACCGGGCGCGGGAGAGGATTCGGGCCGGCTGGAGCTCGGCTGAGGCGCCCTCAGGCCAAGTTGGGAGCTGGGCCGCGGATGGGGAGGGGGCCACCCAGACCCCTAGGCCCATCTTGGGACCCCCGGGGTCGGTTGGGCTGAAGAGGCCTTTCTAGGCGGGGAGGGGGAGGCTCTGCAGGCGCCCCCTCCCCAGTGACCCCCCCTCGAGCCCCTGTGACGTCTGCAAACAGCCCACCTGCACAGGTGTGCCCCTCCCCCTCCCCTGGCTGAGAAAAAGCAGCCCCTCCCCCCTTTGGTCCCTGCAGAGCATCTTTCCCAGGAGGAGTTTTGGGCCCATCTGGGGGGTCCCTTGGGGGGGCTCTAGTGGGTTTCAATGTATGGCGATGCTGCGATGCACACGCATCCCCCCCAATCAGCCCTGGAAAGGGGGGGGGGTCGCCTCTCAGGTGAGGGTGGGTGCCCTGCTGGATGAGCATCGCCTGGCCTTTTCCAGATGGCCATCTGCTGCTGCTGCAAATTACGTTCTTCTTTTCTATAGAGGTCTGTATAAAGTCTCTCTGGAGGCAGATGGGGAGGGATGGGGGGATTTCCCCTGGGGAAGGGGTCCTTGCAAGGACCCTCAGAACAAAGGCCAGCTGTTCCCCTGGAGGGGAGGCGGCTTGTGCTGGGCCAAGGAAGTGTGTGCCCAGTTGGCTGTGACACGCCCAGCAGCTTCCCAAAGCTGGGTCCGTCTGCAGGATGACTTACATTTTGTGAAAACTTTGGTGGTTTAAAAAAAAGAGAAAAAAGCATTTATTTATTTATATGGTATTTTTAAATTTATTTATATGGTATAAATCTACATTTGCAGCAGAGGTGAGGTTGCCTGGCACTGATATGCCAGGGTTGGGGGGGGGTGAGAATTGAGGGGCGCAAGGCCTTTGGAGGATCTGTGGCAAAAGGGGAACGAAGTGGGGGGCGAGAGGGAGCCGCTACAGAGGGTAGAGATTTTAGGAAGAATTTGCACCCTTGAGAGTGAGGGAAGAGATCTCGAAAAGGAGACATGAAGGTTCAGAGGTGCTCAGAACTTGTAGATGAGCTTGGAGCTAGGAATGCTGGCAGGAAATGAAACAGAGGATGCCCAAGAGGGAAAACTGACTTCAAAACACAGCAAGGTGCAGATTTAGAGGCTCTGTGATCTTGAAAACGATCTCCTGAGGGGCATCCAAGAAAAGATGATTGGATTGTTTGTGGATATTTACGGCAACTTCTCCACTTAAGCTGTGGTTTTCGTGGTTTAAAAAACAGTGACTAAGCAGGGGGTGTGGGAAGGTGGATGGCTGTACAAAAACCACGTGTCAGATTGCAAGGACCTTGATGACACTGCCTTGCGATGTGCACCAACCAATTGTTCTGTTCAAAAGAAACAACGCTTTGCATAAATGCCTGCCTGCTTTAAGGAAAAGGCTATACGGCAGGTTGGGAGGCTCCTAGATGAGACATGCCTTTAAAGAAGCGAAGGATCCAACAGTTGTTTGGTGAGTGGACTTTACGATCGGTGGCCGCTCAAATCACTTTCTTCAACTCAGTTTGGAGGCAGGAGAAAGGGCGGGCAAAGCTGATGTTCAAGGTTGAGAAATGGAAGGGAGAGGATGTGCGCATGTTGAGACATATAACACAGGAATTGGAAGGAAGACTTGAGAAATACAACATCTATGTTGGTTTCGACCTAGCTTTCAGTCAAAATTAGGAAATGGGCCGCAAGCTTTTCTTGCTGGGAAGCATCTTGATCAGTTTATGAAGTTAACCACTTGTTTGTGCATCATTAGGGTAAACCTCAACGCTCATTTTGTTGTTGAATAGTCTTGTGAATGCTGTAGGGTTGCTGGGTCTGAAAGCAGGTAAATGCTGTTTAATATGAGCCCATTTTTCTTTGTGGCAGATGCTAAATCGTTGAGAATGAAATCAGAGACCCTGTTCTAAAGGGCAGCAGTCTAATTAGGGTGCCTTCATTGTGCCCTTGGAGACTCAAAAATAGATTCTGGCCTTTTTTCTAACCAATTGTGACATTTTATTCAATGGAAAACGGATTCCCAACGCAGACAGGGAGGGTTGCATAATGAACGTGTTGTGTATAGTCCAAGGAATGTCATTTACATCCTGACTCCGTTGACCTTTACCAAGATCCTGAATAAGTGACTCGGAACATCCCTTTATTTAAAAGGAGACATTACTGCAGTTGTAAGAATTTTCTTCACAGTACATGTATTGTTGCAATATATTGGTATACTGTGAAGCTGAAAGTCCTGAGGCTCTACACCAGTTGGGAAAGAAAAATGTAAAAAATCTCTGAAAGAGAAATAGATAAAAAAAACAGGCCATTGCTGCTCTTCTTTTTGAAATCTTTGTTTTGTTAGAGAAGAGTTTCTATGTGGTCTTGATTCGGAAGGGACTTCGGAACTTTTGAATGAATTCCTTGAAGTGTTGCTGCCTTGAAGTTGTCAGGTCTTTGAATTCGAGTATATGGAGGCTAGTTCAGACACTGCACTAAGCCAGAAAGGGATTGAGTTCTTCTTGGTTTAGGATGTTTTCTGAATGCAATCATTGTTATTTTTTTAAGGAGTTATTAAACATAACTAGAGCTTAGCTCAGTGAGGGAGCCCAGCCCGGAAGGCACAAGCAGAGCTAGCACTTCACAATGGAAGTAGCTGTGCTGTGTCTAAATTGGCCAACTCCAAAATGAGAAAAGACGTTGCACTTACATGCTTGTTATTTCTGCCCTCTTAGGCAAAAGATGGGGAATAGTAGCTTGAAAATCTTTATTCTGAAGAAAATGTTTCGTGGTAACAGGCTGCATTCCCCCCTTTGGCTACTGATTTTTTTTAAAAAAAGCAAAAAAGAACCAAAGGTTGGCTACACACACAGAGTGTTTATCAAAAGATCCCACCTGGCTTGCCGAGCAGGATCTGATCTCGGTTGACCAATAGTTGCTTTCAAAGCCTCATGTCAGAAATTGTCCAAAGTTTAATCGCGCACATCTCCTCCCCGATTTGAAGTTTTCGTGTTGAAGATTTAGTAATCTTGCAGGCTTTGGTATGGATGGCACTGACATTATGTGACCCTGTTGCTGACTCTCCAGGAAAAAAAGGCGTCCAACCTCTTATTACCATCCCAGTCTGGAATTTTGATGATCCGCAAATCGTGTACAGCCTCACAAGTTTTCCTCTGGTGGCAGAGGGCAAACGGCCTTAGAAAGCAGAGAAGCCTGTGAAGGATTTCACTTTAATTTGAACGGGGATAGAAAAACAAACACATCCTGGATGAAATACCTGCTGTATAACTTTGGCTGAAGTAGGTCATAGTTCACTGAATTTCCCTTGTTGGATGTTTCTGTGGTTCTTCCTGGCTCGTGTGTGAGATGCAATCATTTGACTTTCGTGTTTTTTGGTGGCCCTTTTGACATTAGGGAAGATGGAGGCTGGTCCCATTAAAGTCTGCTGGATTGATGACCGCTTTGGCATCTGCAGTTAAAGCCGGTGGCCTCCGCAAATATCTAGGGCTAGAAATGCATCAGCATTCTGCTTCCTCTGCCAGTAAATGGCATTGATTCCCATGAAAATTTAATTGCCAGCACACTAGGACATTGGGTAAACATGAGCAAAACCTGCTTCGGAGAGGTTTGAGATGATCAGAGGCTTATCTTTCTCTGTTGTAAAATGTAAATAACTCAGCTGCGAAACAGGTTGAAGCAGTAAAGGGATAAACACTTTCTGAAGGTTAATGGGTAATATGTTTATTCATTCATCCCTGATGCAACTCTCTCTCTGTGTTTGCCGTATTTGCGACGGCAGGAGGTTCTTCTGGCAGAATTTTTTGACCATGAAAGATTGGGCAAGATTTTTGTGAAAGCCCAGAGTTGGGCAAGTTAGCCCGCAGAGATGTGTTGAACTCTGAAAAGACCATAATGGTTGTTCCCTGAGGCCGAGAGTTAGCTAATGAAGGTACCCGCAGAATCTCAAACTACAGTGTATAAGATAATTCAGGCTGGAGGAAGAACTTCCCTCGGTTTTCTCAAATTGTGGGTTCTTTCAGGCTTTAAGTTCAGTTCGCTACTCCCTGGTGGCTAGTCATCAGGGATCTCCAAACTTGGCAACTTTAAGACTTGTGTACTTCAACTCCCCGAATTCCTCAACCAGCCAAGTCCACAACTTTAAGTTGCCAAGTTGGGAGACCCCTGCGGTGGACATTAGGAGAAGTATTCAAACAGTGAAAGCTGTTGGACACCAACAACCCTGACTTGTGTTAATAATGGCTTCCCAGTTTAAAACAGCGAGGGATGGTGCATTATTTCAATATTGTCCGTTTTCTCCAATGAATTCAGGGAGAATCTCTGCCTCCCTTCCCTCTTTCCTTTTAGATCCTCCCTGCAAGTTGAAAGGTTGTTAAATAACTACCGTCAACAGGTCATGACTATTGCTGATTATATGCTTTTTAGTTCCTTTTCTCTAAGCATGGAATCTTCCTTGGGATCTTCTCTAACTCCTCCTTACTCCTTTTTTTCAAACACGCAAAATTGTATGCTAGCTTCTGGCATATCCGCTGGTTAATAGCCAAATGCTAATGCATAAATACTCCTGAAGGCAAAAATACAAAGGGTGAAGGAACCACAATTATTTTTTTTAAAAAGGGGGATGAGAATGTTTTAAGTTCTGTGCAGGATTCCAAATATTTATTTTTAAAAAAAATCAAGTAGGTCTAGTTCGATGTGACATATTGGGAATGGAAGCAAAATATAACTCGGCTCACAGGTTGCTCGGTAGTACAACAGGAATAAAAAACAATAAATCTGTAAAGCAAGCACAGGCCTGCACATTAAAAAAAAATAGACCATTTCTCTTCCAATTCTCATTCTGAACAGCTGTTTCCAATTATATTGCCTGCTGACCAAGAGAATGGCCTGGTTAGCACATCAAGCTAAGCCCAAATGGAATTTATTTGAGTTTCAACTAAAGATATCATGTGAGCTTAGCTATTGTGGTTCATAAACCATGGCTTCTGACTTGACATCATCCAGCAACCCTTTCACTCAGGGGTTTTTCAATAAGCCATTGTTTAGCTTAGTCCATTTGTCTTGCAAGAATTGGACCTTAACTGACTAGTCTGCAGCTGACCCTTCACAGCATCCAGACAGTGACTTAAGAGAATGGCAAAAATACCTAGAAGTGGGCAGGTTTTAACAGCCAGAGATCGTTTTCCACTGCAGTCCCTCTAAATAGCAAATGACCATTTTCTTGAAACAGAAGATGGGGTGATTATTTTTCAACTTCGAACCACAAAACTCAAAAGCTCCCGTCTGATAAAATTAGAGCCCTTTGCAGTACTTGTTATAAATCAGCTGCTATGAATAACTGGACGAGATGCTGGAGTGGCCTCAGACCAGGACGTGGTTGCTACTCGAGATTTGGTGGTCAAATATTTCTGCAGATAAATAAACACACCAGAATGCATCCATGTTCTAAAGTGCTTTGAGGGTATAATAAGCCTATTTCAGATGGATTATATTACAATAGGAAATCCTCAGGAACTGAACATTAAATCTTCAAAAGGAAGATGTAACAAGAAATAGGTTGGTTGACTTAGTATGGTATGCATCATCTCGCTAATAAGTATTTAACAGTATGTGTGTGTATGTGCACGTGCGCACACGCACACACACACACACACACACACACTATACCCAGTTATAATTTGTCAGCTTTCACCTAGATCAGAAATGTTCAGCCTGCTCTTTACAAAAGACATACACTTTGAAAATTGTTGCCAAACAGTAAGTTTTCATCTAACAAGAGAGTAAATAGAGAACTAGTGTATTACCATAATAATTACATTCCAATGCAAGTATTAAACAAAATGACTTTTTGTCCAAGGGATCATCTACTTTTTGCCACATCATTCAAAATTCAGTTCTTGGCCTCAAAAAATATTGTGCACTGAGTTTGATAACATGACCTAGACTTTGCTAATAACTTTGCCACCCCACTGCCCCAGCAAGGGGTTATGGATTTTTCCTGTCTGCTTCATTTTGCGTGTGGCACCAGTCAAAAGTCTTATGAACTGTTGGGCTTCTCCTTAAGAGGCTTTCAGGCACAAAAAAGGTAAAAGGACAGCACAGGGGATTTAGTGCTGTTGGCCAGAAGAGGTTGCTTTATCGGATGGCAGACTCAAAATCTGATTTCAAAGTATTTCCTTTCTTACCTATTTCTGAAATCTTTTCCTTCTCCTGGTATCTTTTATGGTCATAAAAGGTATGACCATAAAAGGTACTATATTTTATGTAATTCTGAACAAGATGTTTTGCACTATTTGCTCGGAAGGAAGACAATCTGGGTGGAATTATCTTGTATTGTACTGCTATAGGTGAGGCTAACCAGTTTGGCTGTCAATTTCACAGAAAATGAGCAGCGTATTTGGTTGCCTTACAGAAAAAGCCACGGATGGCTCCCTACAGAGCGAAGACTGGACACTGAACATGGAGATATGCGACATCATCAATGAGACAGAAGAAGGGTATGTCTATGCGCACCCGTTAACGGACAGCAAAATTGCCTTTTGTGATTTTGGAGACCTCCTTTTCTGGGAAGAGGAGCTGCGTGTTGGTCAGGTGGTCTCTGCCGGCCGTTTTAATGTTCAGCTCCCGATAACCGCAGACAGTGTTTGCTTGCCTTAATCCTCATCCAGCAGAGAAGGTGGCGCTAAATGGACCAGTGGCTTGAAGTTGTACGAGCCAAACAGCCCCCAGCAGTTGATTTTAAGCCTGAAGAGCTTGTTCTGTAATATGTTGTTCAAGAAATTGTTCGATCATATTTTGAGTAGCTGGGATACTTTAGTCCAACGTGGCTCTGTGGGTTTAAATGCTGTAGCAGTATAGCATTAGCAGCCTGTTTAAACGCTATAGCAGCCTGTCTTCTGCAGTCTCCTTTTAGGCAAAAGCATCACAAAACTAACATCTTTTTGCTGGCTTCTTTTCCAGCATCTGACCTGGCTTGTTGTTTTTGTTGTTTGTTTTAATTTGCTGAAATTATTTGTGTGTTCCCTCGGGGGACTGTATTCTCCTTTGAGATGCTCCATTGCCATTGAGCAAACACCGGAGCCTCCAAGCACCCAGGTTCAAAACAGATGTGCACAAAAACAGCTTAAAACCGGGGCTGTTGTGTTTCTGTGCTTCAGAGGCACCTGGGGCGCTCACCATCCTCTCCTCCTTCCCTCCTCAGCCCGAAGGATGCTGTTAGAGCGCTCAAGAAGAGGCTGAATGGAAACAGAAACTACAGAGAAGTGATGCTCGCTCTAACAGTAAGTCCAAGGAATCAAGACCTGGAGACTTGGGGGAAAGAAGTCCGTCACCCTGGAGCGCGACCTAGCAGCTCTCTTTTTTTAGGATGCTGAGTGTTGACTGTCTCTTCTGCACCTGAAATGTGTTTTTCACACCAAGGTCCTGGAAACTTGTGTAAAGAACTGCGGCCACCGCTTCCATATCCTCGTAGCCAACCGAGATTTCATAGATGGTGTCCTGGTTAAAATAATTTCACCTAAGAACAATCCTCCCACCATCGTTCAAGATAAAGTCCTTGCCCTGATTCAGGTATATTGTTTTAATTTCAGTCTCTCTCTCTTTCTGAGCGTACAGCGTCACAAATCCTAACAGTTTTAAGGCCACCTAGTTTTAACCGTCTACTGGCCAGGCTTTAGCAGGTTGATAGTCTTTTTAATCTTGGTATGGATAGCATTTCCAGTTGCGCATTCAGCAGCTGCCTGCTTCTTAACTTGAAATGGTGAATCAAGCCCAAGGCGGCCGATGGCTCTTCTCAAGATTTGGGGGCAACAGCCTGCAATGTTTGAGGGTCTGAATCCCACCTTTGACTCTTGAATGACACATAAAGGTCTCCATGCCAAAAAGGAACAGGGTCAAGGATGAGTGGCTGTTTCTGGCTTTTCTCTCCATCACATTAAAGATGAGAGGTAATTTCTAGGGAGACCCTCTCCTAGGGCTGCTGTGGGGGTGTCTCTCGTGATCTCTCTGTTGTAATGAATCCCAAGAGGAAGAAGAAGAAAAAAACCCAGTTCAGACAACCTAGTGCAGGGGTCCCCAACCGCCAGGCACTGGGCTGTAACACACCGGAAAGTGGGCAGCACAGGAAATCACTCCCGGTCAGCAGAAAAATCTCTCTGCATGGAACTGGTCCGTTGTGCCCAAACATTTGGGGGCTGCTGCCCCAGTGAAGAAAAATGGATCGTGTAGAAACTGCCTGACAATCCTTCCTGGTTCCCCCCCCCCCCCCCCCCCCCGCCCCCCCCCCCCCCCTGCCCCCCCCCCCCCCCCCAGGCTTGGGCTGACGCCTTTCGAAGCAGCCCCGACCTCACCGGAGTCGTGCACATTTACGAAGAGCTGAAGAGGAAAGGCATCGAGTTTCCCGTGGCGGATCTGGACGCCCTGTCTCCAATACACACCCCACAGAGAGTAAGTATCTAAGCGGGGGAAATTAGCTCCTCCCCAAGGACCCAGAGCCCGAGCTGCAAATTAAAAAGAGGGGGATAAATGGTGCGGTAATAAACCCTAGAATACCGCCGGACATTCATTGAGCCGGAAAAGACGGCTGCCTTTTAGAACAGCCTTGCAGGATCTGACCCCGGGCGCTTTTAGCACCCGGTCTCCCAGGGTGATGGGCTACTAGCTGCTTGGATGGGAGGCTGCACGATCTTTGAGCCTCCAGACCATTTAGGTGACTATGGAAAATAGAATCTCTCATACACACACACGCCCCCCCCTCCCCTCGGCGTATTTAAACAGGGGGCGGGTCTCTCACCCAGTGCCATTTCCTTTGCTAGAGCGTTCCTGAAATCGACCCGGCTGCCAACATGCACAAGTCACCATCTCAGCAAAAAGTGAGCTCCAGCACCTCCCCGACCTCCTTCCCGGCTCCTCAGACCCCCCCTCTGAACGTGACCGGCCCCATCCTAGCAACCACGGAACAGGTAGGGCTCTGGAGGAAGAGGCTCAGGGGTGGGCTGGGGGTGGGCTGTTCCCCTCTCCCCTGCACTCCTCCAGGAGACCCCTCTGGGCTTTTACACACCAGAAGGACTTTCCTCCTCCTCCCCCCCCCTTCCCTTCCCCCTCCTCAGATTGCACGATTGCGCAGTGAGTTGGACGTGGTTCGTGGCAACACCAAGGTGATGTCGGAGATGCTCACGGAGATGATCCCCGGGCAAGAGGATTCCTCAGACCTCGAGTTGCTGCAGGTAGGTCCAGTGGGCAGAGGTGGATCTACTGGACAGGCTGGGGGCCCTTTTGCAGAGGGAGCCAAAACAGAGAGAGGCCAGGTGTTGGAGACATCTGCCTCAAAGGGCAGCAGGCCTTCTCCCAGAGGTGAACATTCTGGCTGCTGCTTGTGGTGCCTCCCCTGGAGGCCGTTCCTCGCTCTCAGTCCCTCCCTGTCTCCTCTCCCAGGAGCTGAACCGCACCTGCCGAGCGATGCAGCAACGGATTGTGGAGCTAATCTCCAGGGTGTCCAACGAAGAGGTCACCGAAGAGCTGCTCCATGCCAACGACGACTTGAATAACGTCTTCCTCCGATACGAGAGGTGAAGCCTCTTTTTTTCCTTTGAGAAGTTAGATTCCCCCGTCACAAGGCAGGGCAAGCCAGCCCCACCCCCCAAGTGACAGCATTGGTCGGGGGGACATCCCTCAAGAGTCTTTCCTTTTACCAAATTGCAGCCTTTTCTCTCTTTCCTGGGCTTCTCCGTTCATCCTCTCCCCTCCCACCTACGAGGCAGGGAAGAGAACCTTTGCAAGTGTCAGGGCTGCGTTAAACCATTTGAGTTCTCATTTCGGTTCTTTCGGTTCAGCTGTCGGTAATTGACTCCCGGCTGCCTACACGGCTGGCTGGCTGGCTGGCTGGGGTGTCATGTGTACAGTTGGACGCTAGATGTCCAGAAAGAACCTCCTGGAAAACGCATCCGACTCAAAGAATGTGGATAGTCATGCAAGCAAACCGGCTGTCAGGATATTGCATTCCAGATGTGCGCTTTGCCCTATAAAACAGATGAGAAGTATTTGATCTGTTTTGTAGGAGTGTGTTTGTTTGCCTAGAAGCAGATATTAAGTCTAGATAAGTGCTCCAGCGTGGCCTGAGAGAAGCAGAGGGAGGGAGGGAGAAAGGAAAGAAATGAAAGAAAGAAAGAAAATAAGTGAAAGAAAGAGAAAGAAACAAAAAGAAAGAAAAAGGAAGGAAAGAAGGAAGAAAAAGAAAGAAAGAAAGAAAGAAAAAGAAAGAAAGAAAGAAAGAAAGAAAGAAAGAAAGAAAGAAAGAAAGAAAGAAAGACCAGTACTCCATGGAAGATTAATCTCCAGGATAAGGCCCAAAACACTCTCCTTGCAGGCAACCCCTGTGCCTTTCAGGTTACCTTCCGTGGGCAGCCAGGAAGATGGGGAAAGAATGGCACATGGGTCTTGTAGTGCTCTCCTGGATGTCTTACCCGGAATCAGCTTTGTGGCTCCACAATAATTCCTTTCTAATCTCTTCTTGTCTTCCTCTAGGTTTGAACGATACAGGCTGGGCCGATCAGCACAGAATTCAAGCAACGGAGTAAGTCCTCCCGCCAGCCTTTCCAAGCAGCGTAACAACTACTCTCAGTCCTTGTGACCAGAGTGCTCTCTTCCCCTAGGAACTGCTAAAATTTACCCTGAATATTAAGCATATCTGGTTGTGTATCTTTGTTGGCAAAGTAACAGTCGAAGGTCTGCTGGCAGATTGGGAGGAATGCAGCCATTTCAAGCTGAATGTGAAAACACCTAAGCTGGAAGTTCAACTTTTGGCTGTTCTTGGAACACCATCGTCTTAATCAGAAATTCAGGATGGTGGCCCAAATGGCTCAATCCAAGTTGGTCGTAATTCTCCTCCTCCTTGGGAGAAAGAAGGCTCAGCACTGGCAGGATTCTGCCCCCTTTAGGCCAGATGACAGGGCTAGGGAAACAAAGGACCCCTGAAGAGAGGTTTAAGGGGGTGGGGGCTTGCATGCGCTTGCCCCTCCTGGCCGTAACATCCTGGGCTTCATCAGAGCCACCAGGTGCTGCCTCTGACTCCTGTGATCCCGCAGGGATGCCATTCCTCTCATGTGACCTCTGCCGCTACCCTGCCTGTCCCTGCAGGTCCTCAGCGAGGTGACCGAGGACAACTTAATAGACCTGGGCCCTGGGTCCCCAGCAGTGGTCAGCCCCATGGTGGGAAGCACAGCCCCCGCCGCCAACCTTTCCTCTCAGCTTGCTGGGCTCGGTGAGTATCTTCTGTTTCTCAAAGAGTTGGAGGAAGTCTCAAGAAGCTAGTCCACGGTGAGGGTCTTTAAAAGTGGAGAGGTTGTTGCCTGGTACGCTTAGGTGGTTGCCGGTGTTGGATGCTGGCAGCCTTGTAGGAGAAAACGCCTACAAGGAGCCAACACTCTGCATTTAGAGGCAGAGAGGCCCTTTTTTTCATTTGTAGCAGATTTGTGCACCATAAGTCTCCGCTATAAGACACAACCTTTCATTACCTTGCGCTCAGTCGTCAACCATGCTGTGCGCAAATCTGCGTTTGTCCCAGTAGGGCTCTTAGAGTCCAGATTTACGTCCCATATTACACTCAAGCTGTGTCTCACTTAATTGATTCCTGCGGTCCCTCCTCTGGCTCGCAGTCTTTGGCACCGCAAAGAGGCGAGGAGGACCGGGGGTGGCACCATTTCCTTCTCCTGAATCTGATCTTCCTCTTTCCTTTCCTCCCCTCTCCCCAAAGATGAGTTTTTGATCTGAGCTCATCTCCCAAATACTTTTAAGGGGGGAGGAGACTGGGCAGGGGGAGCCTTGGCCCCCTTTGTCCATGGGAACGGAAGGAGGAGAGGGGAAATGTGGCCGGCTTCAGGTGTGGCTACAGGGAACATGTCTCTGCGCCAAGGCTCACCGTTCCCAAACGACAAAGTGCCACTGTTTTGTTTGAAAGAGGAAAAAAGGGGCCCATCTATCTTTGTTTAAGACTTCTCGCTTTTTGTCCTCTGGGCCTCTCTGTAGATTTGGGCACAAACAACGTGAGCGGGGCCCTCAGCTCGCTCCCCCACAGCAATCCCCGGGACGACTTCGACGTGTTTGCACAGACAAGAGGAGGCTCCGTGGCAGAGCAGCGTAAAACGTACGTGGCCGTGGCGTGGATTCCGCTGCCTCTCTGAAAATCCATGATCGATGTGTATTCTGCCTTTACCCTTTTTACCAATTAAACTCAAGGCGGTGAACAGATCCAAGGCGCCTTCCTCCTCCTGTTCGCCTCACAACCACCGCCACCATCCTGTGAGGATTAGGCTTTCATGGCTGAGATGGGACTACAACTCTCCATCGCCTGCTTTCTAGCCAGGCGCCTTCGCCACTAGAGGAAACTGGCTCCTAGGGCCAAAGAGCTGCTCAGGCCAAGAGTCGTCCCCTGGGTCACGGGTTCAAATCCTGAGCCAGCGAATGATCCGGTCCCTTCCTTTCACGGCCGCCGTGCCGCTGCGAATCCATTTTTCCTTTTTTAAGCTACACCATCTTATCCCGAAGGCTTTGTGAGAGGGGATGTTGAGGGCTCGATTAGGCCGCATTTCAGACTGTTTCTCGTCTACTTGGAGCCAAGGCAGACGCACCGAAAAATCGAAGGCGGTCAGAAATGCAGCAACGAGGCCTTTTCGGGAGACTTCAGGAACGCCTCGCCCTTGCCCAGCCATTGTTTTGGTGGCGATATTGTCCCCGCTTTCAGGGCTGTTAAAAATGGGAGTCCTTCTGGCTTCCTGGAGGTTTTGCGGGATGAATTACGGCCCCCGGAGACTCCTCGGTATTTAAGCATGACTGATGCTCTCTCCTCTTTGTTCCATGGGCTCCACCCTGTGGCAGATTTGGAGGAGGGGGAAGATTTCGGTCTAATCAGCTCCCTCTGCCTTAATTGGATTGGCCTGGTGGGCTTCTGGGAGGCGTGAAATCCCCAGGTTTAGGAGGTAGCGGAGGGCGACTTTTTACGTGTGTATTTATTCAGCTCCCCATAATCCAGTCTGCCCCCACGGGCGGAAGAGTTAAGTGTGGTGGCATCCGGCTGCGCTGGTTGTTTTGCTTTCTTTTCTGCCAATAAAATCAGCCGGCTTTGGGTCTCTCTTTCATAGGTTTTCTTTTACTATCGTTGGTTTCTGGTTATCCCAGCAATTCAATTCTTTTCTTTTTGTCCAGCAGGACAAGGGAGGATCCACAAACGGCTAAAGGGGTGGCACCTGCCCCAGATACCCGGAAACCAAAATCAGGAGGGGTAAGTTTGTTCTGCTATATTACCAAAGGTAGGTGTGTGTGTGAGTGTGCGCCAGTGCGTGCCATTCTTAAGCTGAGGACACCAAAGGGCAGCGTGTTTGTTCTCTTGTGTGCAGTCGTCTGTTTTTGGGGAACTTGACTGGAAGTGTGGCAGAGCAAGCTGGGCTCGTCTCCTTGTTTGGTCGTTGGGGCCAGGGTGGCCTCAGCAGTCTAGAAATATTTGAGGACCGGATATTCAATGGGTTGGTGGGAGGACGGCCCAAAGACCCCCCCTTCTCTCTCAGCTTCATCTGTGCTTAAAAGGACCCCTGATTTCGTCTGGAGAGATGCGAGGTGCTACTTTGGGACAGGGGGAGCTTCCCTTTTTTAAATACTTTTTCAGCTGGTCACCCCGTTTCATATTCTGGCCTTTGTAGGATCCAAATATCCACACATCTCTAATTAATTTTATTTCATCAGAATAAAGGGGCCACCTTTGTGCTTCCCCCCCAACGCAGTTCAAAGCAGTGCCCGTGGCTCTTCCTCTGTCCCCATTTTTATCCTCGCTGTTAAAACAAGAAAGTTGCCTTTGCCAATCAACTTTACGGCCAGGATTTGAACCCAGATCACCTCAGTGACCTTTGCTCCCATTTAAGCCCTGGTTCAGACCTCTGAGTTTGGCTGGGGAGAACGGATTGCACAGGTCTGGAGGGCGCCAGGTTGGGGACAAACTGCTTAGTGTGTTGTCAGCTCAAAGGGCCTCCTGGAGCCGGGTCAAAGTACTTGAATGTGTCTCTCTTTCCCCCCTCCCCCCCCCAAAACACACCTTTGCCCGCAGGTGAAGACATCCTTATTTTGCTCTCTAGCTGACTTAAAGGTGTTGGCAACCCTTGTACACCACAGCAATCACTGTCCTTCCAATTCTCAGCCATGATACGCTTCTCCACGGCTAAAACGTTGTCGAAATCGGGCCCGGCTCCATAACTGCCTCCCTTAGCAGCCGACACCCTGGTCGCGGTTGTAGCCCTACCTGCAGCCTTGGCTGGCCAGGACCCCAAGCTTGCTGAAGTCCTTGCAAACACAGATGTGGAACTTTCCTGCCCGCTTAAACGCCCTCTTACCTCCGGAAGTGGGCATGGAGGGGCGTTTCTCCTACCCTCAGGCTGCCGATTCTAGGCAGGGCCGGCCACAGGTGGAACCAGGTGGGGGTGGGGGATGCCCAAAGCTGCTCTCCAGGGCCCCTGCAGCGGGACGAGGGACAGGACGGGGTTCTTGTCTTACCTGCGGTAATGAGGCTTTCTGTTCTCAACACACAGCGGAGAGGTAAAGGTGGGAGTGGCCCCCTGGAGCCCATAGACAGGTGGCTCATCTCCCAAGGAATGGTGAGCACCATCCCCCCTCCCCCCTCCGTGTCGCCCTCACTCCTCCCGGTGTCCCTTTCCACCAGCCTCACCCCTCTTGTTCACCTGTCACTCAACCTCTCCAAACAGTACCAGCGGGGTGGCAGTAAAAGGAGGGGGGGCAGAGCCTCATCTGGGGAGATGGAAGGTGGGGGCTGAATACAGGTAGTCCTTGACTTACAACAGTTGGCTTAGTGACCATTAAAATTCACAGCGGTCCTGGGAAAAGGGACTTGGGACCACTGTTCACAGTTAAGGACCTTTGCAGCGTCTCCATGGTTAGGTGATCGAAATTCAGGCGCCTGGCAATTGGTTCGTGCTTACGACCATTGCAGAGTCCCAGGGTTACGTCTGTTTCTCCCTTCTGCGACCTTCGACGTCAATGGGAAAGCCAGATTCACTTAACCACCAGGTTACTAACTTAGCCGCTGCAGTGATTCACTTAACCACCGAGGCAAGGAAGGTCGTAAAACGGAGCAAAACTCACTTAACAAATCTCTCACTTGACGACCAAAATGTTGGGCTCAATTGTGTCCGTGAGTCGAGGAATACCTGGAGGGGGGGTGGGGGGTGAGGAAACACAGAGGCATAATGTTCGTGCCCTGGGCTTGTTTTCCAGTACTTGGATGGGTCTCTCCACCGGTTCCTTGTTCTGTCGTCGTCTCTTTTTTCTTCTTCTTCTTCATACCTGCAGTATTGCCTTTTTTCCCCTCCCTGGTAAACACAAGTCTTTCCACGTTTGAGGTTTGCAAAAGGTTGAAGGAGGCAGCACCCAAGAGCCACCTAAGCTCAGGTGAAAGATGCTCGATGCCTTCAGGTGTTTTTGGACTTCAGCTCCCGTCCTCCTCTGGGCAGCCCAGGGCCGCCCTAGGTTCATGGGTCTCTCTGCTAAGCTTGGGGAGGAAGAGGAGGAGAAAAACAACGACATGTCCTGCAAGGGCAGAAAACTGAAAATAGCAGAGGTGTCTCTTCTCACCTGGGTGTTTTTCAAGCTGGGCCACTTGGAGGTGTGTGGACTTCAACTCCCGGAATTCCACGCCTCTTCGAGTGGCCCAGCCTGAGAAAAGTGGTTGCAAATGGTTTAGGGGACATTTAGGAGGGTTGGGCCTGCCTGTAAAGAGTCTCCCCCCGCCCCCGCTCTACCCCCAGGGAGAATGGAAGCAGCTCCTGACACCTTTTACTTTTTAAATCCCCTGAGTGATTGAACGCCCCCCCCCCCCTGCCAGAGCAGATCACCTTGCTCCTTCAATTTCTTGGGGAGGCCCTTAAGAGCCCCCCCCATTATATTTCTCCCCCTGATTTGAAAAATTCTGTTCACCCTCCTCCGGGGTTCTGAGCACCCACACTGCTAGCTTGTGTTTGTTCAGCCTGGCAAAAAGGTTACTGCCCCCTTTGCGGACCCTTGAATAACACCTGTACAGAACCGGAGAGGCCGGTGTTCCCCGGTGTTCTGTCCTTCACAAGCTCCTCATCCCTGTTTGTTCTTAACACGGACATACTTGACCTCCCCTATCCAACTAATCCCTAACCGTGGTTTCCAGCAGCAGAAGCCGTGAACCGTGTCACTTTATCATAAATAAAATGTAATAATAAAAGGGACCTGCCCAAGTGTGCAAGCAGGCAGGTGAGAAGGAAGGACACACGCCAAGAGTCCCTCGCCAAAGGCTGGGCATTGAAAGGAGCACGTTGGGTCAGAGTTACCGTGAAGCTCCCCCGCTTTTCCAGACAATATGTCTTTCTGCATGTCTCGGTCTTGATCGGTTGGGGCATCGCGTAGCCTAGACTCAGCAGCCCAACGGCCCTGAAGGAGCTTCCTTCCCTTTCGACCGTTGACCAGCGCGTGAAAGCCGGCCCGAGTCGCAGCTGCACCAGCTGTGACTCGGCACCATACCTGAATCGACAAGCCACGGTTATAGTGGTCGCTCCTGTTCCAGGCAGCCCAGGACCGGAGAAAGGGGAAGGTTTGGCAAATGGAAAATAAAAAAACCAGCAATTACAGTATCTGGAATGACAGGTCTGGGTCTAAAGTCGGAGTATAGTTTGATAGTTTGGATGAGCGTTTGGTTTTCTGAGCTTGGGGGAAATCTTATGAGGTGTGATTGCGGGGGGCAGAAGGCATGTGCTGTGTGTGTGTGTGTGTGTGTGTGTGTGTGTCTGTGTGTGCCCAGAAGCACCTTAAAACTTGTGTGGACCAGAATTTGGCCAGCAACCACTTCTTTGTGCCCATGAAAGAGGAACAGGGAGGGAAGAAAGGAATCTGGGAATTCAGAACCGTCCCACTAAATCCCAAATGATTTTCGGATGATCTCCGTGCAGCAGGTCCAAGATCGACCCTTATGCACTGGGCTTCCCCCAGCCTGTTTCTCTCACCCAGCCGCACACTTCGGCACCGTCCCCGAAGCCCTCGCCGGCACTTCCGCCCACCCCCGTTCCCCTCGCAGAGCATCCTTCCGGCTTTCCTGTCAATCAGCAGCTCCGTTGGATGCCTTCCCCCCTCCCCCCCACTCAACCGCCCCCTCCCCATCTCACTCATCATAACCTTCCCTGTGTTGAGTTTTGCTAGCCACATTGCCTCGTTTTCCCACGGCTTTCTTTGTGCGTGTGCTTTTTTCCGTTCGGTTACGATCTCGTGCGATGACGACAATGCACTTTTTTGTTTTTTTAATTTTACGACAGCAATGCATCTTACACAGCCTATATTTGTTGTTTTGTTTTTGTTTTTTTTCGTTCCTCCCTCTTCCCCCCCCCCTCTTTCTTTCCTCCCTCCCTTTCTCTCTCTCTCTCTCTCTCTCTCTCTCTCTCTCTTTTTTTCTCCCCTGTCTCATTCTGGGCCCGAATTTCTGGGTGTGTTTTGGTCTCGTTCCCCCCTCTTTGCTGCCCCTGCCTAGATTCCTGTCCCACAGTCCTCTGTCATGGAGGACATTGAGGAGTGGCTGAGTACCGACGTGGTAAGAGACTCTTTGGTTCTTCTGCTGTGGTCCTCGTTTACCTTTTCTCAAATTGGCCTCTGAGGAGCGCAGGGCACCGCCAGGGTAGCAGCCCTCCTTTGGCACACGCTTCTAAAGCACAGCAGGCGGCCCTCAACTTGCAACCGTTCACTGAGTGACCGTTCAAAGTTACGACGGCACTGAAGAAAGTCACTGGGGGCCATTTTTCACACCGCAGCCTCCCCTGGTCACGTGATCCAAATTCAGATGCTTGGCAGCTGGTTCGTGTTTATGACGGTCACAGTGTCCCGTGGTTAAGTGACCCCCTTTCGTGACCTCCTGACAAACCGATGGGGAAAGCCAGATTTGCTTACTTGGGTAGCATCTGGAAGAGACGTGTGCTGAAGGAGAGGGAAGTATTGGCCAACTCCCAGGAACTTGGGTGGTGTATATAAGCAGCATTTCTCAACCTTGGCAACTCTTTAAGAGAAGTGGACTTCAACTCCCAGAATTCCCCAGCCAGCAGGAAAGAAAGTCTTGGCACAGCTGGCTGAGGAATTCTGGGAGTCGAAGTCCACTTCTCTTAAAGAGTTGCCAAGATTAGAAAACACAGGTCTGTAGAAATAAGATTACAAACCACAGAGCAGAAAAATATCTCCCAGGAGGTCTTTCGGCTGAGGGTTGGAACGGGGAGATGTCCTGCCCGCTCCGAAGGACACGGCTGGCTGGATTGGGCCACCGCCTCCTGCGTGGGGTCCGTCCAGGCAGGCCGAGCCTTCGCTCTGGGTTTCGTAAGAAAAGAGCCCTCCCCCCAGGCCTGCCCTTTTGCCCTGAATGAGGGGGATGCCCAGAAGGGTCCATGGGGAGAGGGAGGCCCTTTACGGTGTCCCCTTACTCCAAGTAGGACAGGCAGGGCTTCTAACAGAAGCAGGGTAGGACAGTTGCAGCTCCGGGGGCTTTTCAGGATTCAGCGGTTTGGGGGCGTGATTTAAGAGTAGCCCCTCTTTCCCCTTCGGTTAAAGTTTCTAGGCTGCCTCCTCTCCTTCCAGGCATCTGGTCAGCCGAGCTTTTGGGACTGTGTCCAAACCAGGCAGCTTGGGGGAAGCTGAGCCCCGGATTGGGAAGGTCCGTTGGAGGATGGATCCTCTTTCATTGGCAAAGCCAAGCAGGGCCAACCCCTGTTTTTAACACCCACAAATCTGGGACCCCTGTCCAGCAACCAGATTTTTCTTGCTGTGTGTGTTGTTTGGTTTTTTTTTTAATCCCAGAGTTGGGGCAAATCGGGGCCCAGTTTTTGGTCCCAGCCTCAATTGGCTCCCCCCGCCCCTGCTGGCAAAGTCCTTACACTCTCTGCAGCTCTTCTTAAAGGAGGAAGGGTATAAAAATGGTAAGCTCTCTCTCTCTCTCTCTTTTCTTCCCCACTCCCCCCTTCCTTCTTCCTCCAATTCCAGGAGGGGGATGAGCTGGAAGAAGGCGTGACCAGCGAAGGTACGTAAGCAGCCCAGGGATCGAGGTGCTGCCTTAGTCACTGAAAAGGAGGAACTGCTGGACGATGGGAACCCCCCCCCCGCCGCCAACATCCAAGAGAGGGGAGCGAATGAAGCCTAGCGGGGTGGAAGATGCATGGCCCTACGTGCCCCCCCCCGTCCCTAGTTCCGCAAAGGGGGTGTGCGGGGAATGTAGGCCAGGAAGAAAGATTTGTTGGAAGTGGTGCCGGGTTTCCCGTTTGAACAGGTGATAGCAGTAGCATTCAGGCTGATATGCCGCTTCACGGGGCTTTTACAGCCCTCTCTAAGCGGTTTACAGAGTCAGCCTCTTGCCCCCCAACAATCTGGCTCCTCATTTTACCCACCTGGGAAGGACGGAAGGCTGAGTCAACCTGGAGCCTGGTGGGATTGGAAGTGCTGGCAGCCGGCAGTCAGCAGACATGGTACTGCACTACTGCACTCTGACCACTGGGCCACCACGGCTTATGGATGGAAGACCTTACGGTCCCTTCCGACTCTTGTTATTCTGCTGCAGCCAGGCCCCTCAGCCATTTCTCCTCCGGACAATCCTGCTTCAGACTCCAAGGCCCAGCCAGGCACCCGTCAGGCCGTCCGCGGCTGAATTTTGACAGGGAAGAGTCAATCACAAAATAGCCTTGGTGCTTTTTTCAAGGGGCAACTGGACTTTCCGGTTTTTCCTGAAAGACGTTTCACTTCTCCTTGGAGAAGCTGCTTCTTCAGAGCTGAAGAAGCTTCTTGGATGAGGAGTGACCCGTTTTTAAGGGGGGGGGGAACCCGCGAGAAAGTCCACTTGCTTCTTGGAAAAAGCACCTTTGAGACAAACCCTGGCCTGGAGGACTGAGAATCCCCCTGGACATTTTGCATTGGGACCGTTTCTCGCTGAGGGGTTTTGTTTTGTTTTCAAACCTTGCAGAATTCGACCGGTTCCTGGAGGAGCGTGCCAAAGCAGCGGAAAGGATCCCCAACCTGCCCTCCCCTCCTCAGGAGGAGCCCGCGCTGCCCCCCGCGAACCTGCCTAGCAAAAGGAAGCCGGACCGGTCCGAGGACGCCCTCTTCGCTCTGTAACGGCCCTTCCCACCCCGCCCCGCCCCCCCGCCTCTCCCTGCACCGAAGGAGGCGGTGGCAGCCCAGGGCCAAGAGCCGTCTGGCTAGTGATGGGCCCCAGCGCAGGTTGCCCGTTTCTCTCCTCCTCTGGGGGCCTCATCCCCACGTCCTTAACCTTGGGAGGGTCCCGACAGCCATTCTACCACTCAGATAGGGCTGGTTCCTCACTTCACGCCCTCCCACGCCCCTGCCTCCCCGCCCCCCCCCCCCCACGGGGGCGGGGGCAGGGCCCCCCCCCCCCCCCCCCCCTTTTTTTCTTTTAAAGTAAGAGATCTGCATGACTACTTGCACAGACTCCGTCCCCACTCACTTTCCGGTCCTACCCCCCCCTCCCCCCTCCCCCCCTCCCCTTGCTTATTATGCACAATAGCCATGCATTCAATCCCGGCTCGGCTGTAGTTAGGACGACTCCAAAGCTCGGCCCCCTGCGGTCCCTTCCGCTCGGCCCCCTGCAAAAATCAGAGCCGACCTTCCGAAAGCATCACCGCCACTGCTGCCACCACCTCTCTCGGCTCTGCCTCGGGGGGGGGGGGTGTTTGCCATAGTGAAGCTCTTAATAGGAATGAGGTTGGTTTGTGCGAAGGCAGCATTGTTTAGCCAGGATACCGGTTCTGCAGGTTAGGAAGGAGCCCCCCCCCGCTCTCTCTCTCTCTGCGGGTCCCAGAGTGAACCGGCTGCATGTCTTCCCCCGGCCCCTTGACCCCCTCCCCTCTCTAAGTAGGTCAGAAATTCAGTCCCCCCCCCCCCGCCGATTTACAAGAACGGTATTGATAAGGGAAAGTCAGCCACAGAAAGGGACGCGATTGCACTTTGCACTGGAAATGTTAACCCTGAGTGGCTGTTACGTCTGGAGGTATGAAACACTCTGTGTATGTGTGTGTGTGTGTGTGTGCGTGCGCGTAAAACCTTATTTGCATTTTAAAGCACTAAATGGACTATATTATTGCGGGGACTCAACTAACACTAACAAAAAAAAGGTGGGAAGGGGCGAGGGGGCAGCCCTGAGGGGACGAGGCGGGGGGGGGCTTCTGCCCTGACTCCAGCATTTCAGCACTGCCTGCCGGGGGGGGGGGGGGGGGGGCCCCCCCCCCCCCCCGCCCCGGCGCGGGGGGGGGGGGGGGGGGGGGGGGGGGGGGGCTTCCCCGTTTCCCCTCCCCCCGCCCTGCCCCGTCTCGCTTTCTTCTCCTATCTCTCTCTCGGTAAGTTCTGCAGCCTTTTCTTTCATGCTGCCGTATGTTAACCAGCGAAGAGACCCGGTTCCCTTTAGAAAAAATCACCCCACTTCAGGGAGAGATTGCAGCCTTTTCTCTCCCCCACCTCCCTCCGCGCCCCGGCTTTATTTTAAGAAAAGGGAAAAATCTTTCAGGAGGCCCCAATCCCACATGGCAGCGGCTATCGAAAAATCTTTCAAGAGGGTGCAAAGATAACTGGGTTGCTAGTGAAATGAAGCTGAATTGGGACGCTCTGGCTCGAAGCAAGGCGCATCCTGGCGTCCTTTCTCCCACCCAGGTTAGGCACCCGTCGGCTATGGCTCTGCCTTTACCCCAGGAGAGGACGTTACCCTTCCGTGCTCCCGGGCGGAAAATCTGGTGGGTTGCCACTGGGCAGGGCCACTGCCAGCCTGGGAAAGAGGCTGGATTTTCTTGCCCGTGACGCGACCTTTGTCCCGAGATTTCCCCACTGCCAGCCGTTGCTTGGCACAGAACCTCGACTCCTCGGTGATCCTGATAACCCACCAGGCTCTGCGGGAAAAGCGGCTGTGGGGCTCCAGCTGGATCCCCCCCCCCCGCTTTCCCTCCTTGGCCGGTCAATCTGTAGCCCTTAGAGAGGCTCCAGCCCCTTGGCCTGCCTCCCGGGCATCCCGGCTCCCTCCTTCCCAAACCTTTCGCCCTTGAACCAAGAACCGACCCCAAGAAAGCAGCTTCTCCGGTCTTGGCTCTCCCGTTGGTTTGCCCTTAGTCAGTCTTGTTTCTCCCCCACCGACTGCCTAACTGCTAACTGTCCAGCTGATCTCGTCCCCTTTGCCCCCCGAAACCCGTCTCATAGCCTCGCCACCTGTATATGCAAAGCTACAACTTCTTCTCCAGTTGCCCCGACTTTTAAAAAAAAAACGGATAATATTTATTGACAAACAATGCTCAACGTTTTGTTTTATTCGAGGGAGACCGTCGACGGGCGGAATTTATTGTCTGAAGGGAAATGTAAAAAGTAAACAACATAAGAAACTAAGATACTAGCGATAGTTTTAACAAGACTGAAACCCATTTAAAACTGTCCTGGCTTCTCTCTCTCTCTCTTCTACTCGTGACAATATACCTGAGAGAGAGAGAGAGAGAAAACACCTGGTTGGTTGTTTTTTGTTTTTGCGTAAGGCTGTATTAACCAATGTCACTTAACTCTCCTTTGGGATGTCTCTGTGTCTCTGTACATATTTATATATATATTGTTTCTGCATGTCAAAACCGTCCCAATAAACAAAAAATAGTGCAATCGTAGAGCGCAAATGCCACTGACTCTCCCACCCAGGGTTCCTTGGGCGCAGGCACCGGGAGGAAGCGCCCCCCCC